AATGCTTATTTTTGGCCCCTTTTTGGCCCCCAATTCCTAAACGTTTCGGGCAATTACCCCCAAACTCAATTCCAGCTTTCCCTTTGTGATATGGAATCTTGTAGTACAATTTCAGAAATATCCAAACACTTACACACAAGTTATTGTCATGAAACTAGAAAAATGCTTGTTTTTTGCCCCTTTTTTGGCCCCTAATTCTTTAAATTTTGAGGCAATTACCCCCAAAATCAATTACAGCCTTCCCTTTGTGATATGGAACCTTGTGGTACAATGTCAGAGAGATCCATACACTTACACACAAGTTATTGTCTGGAAGTTACAAAAATGCTTATTTTTGGCCCCTAATTCCTTAACTGTTGGTACCATAACCCCCAAAATCAATCCCAACCTTCCTTTCGTGGTCTTGAACCTTATGGTAAAATTTCATGGAGATCCATTGACTTAAACTAAAGTTAGAGTGCGAAAACCAATGTGTCTTCGGACGACGCCAACGACGACGACGACGCCAACGTCATACCAATATACGACCAAAATATTTTTAATTTTTGCGGTCGTATAAATATTGGTGTGTGGAATGATTGTTATTGAGACTACTATCCACCGATAAATCAAGGAGGTGTAATATAATTGTTATTGAGACTACTATCCACCAATAAATCAAGGAGGTGTGGTATAATTGTCATTGAGACAACTATCCACCGATAAATCAAGGAGGTGTGGTATAATTGTCATTGAGACTTCTATCCACTGATAAATCAAGGAGGTGTGGTATAATTGTCATTGAGACAACTATCCACCGATAAATCAAGGAGGTGTGGTATAATTGTCATTGAGACTTCTATCCACTGATAAATCAAGGAGGTGTGGTATAATTGTCATTGAGACTTCTATCCACTGATAAATCAAGGAGGTGTGGTATAATTGTCATTGAGACTTCTATTAACCGATAAATCAAGGAGGTGTGGTATTTTCACTGTTGAATAGATGTGTTCTGACTTTTCATTTTGCAATACATTTGTTCTGGCTTATACAACGGCAATGGTCTGATAACAAATTATCTGACTTATCTCCGTGTCAACAGTTTATTGAAGACATTAACCAATCACAATGTTTCGATGAACACTTTTCAAAACATTACTTAGAATGCAATTAATTCCGAAAAAGTGTTGTGCAGGGTACATTTCTTTCATGTTTTATCTAGAGTTGCTGGTTCATTAACATATAACACATCTTTTTTTTTTTAATTCCTATCCTGATTCATTTGTTTTGTTCAAAGTCTGTAACTACAAACCAGAAAACTCATGTAGCAATAATATTTGTACAAAATCTGTAACTACAAACCAGAAAACTCATGTAGCAATAATATTTGTACAAAATCTGTAACTACAAACCCGAGAACCCATGTAGCAATAATATTTGTACAAAATCTGTAACTACAAACCCGAGAACCAATGTAGCAATAATATTTGTACAAAATCCGAAAACTGGAAACCATGAATAAAAGATCTGACTCAGTCTCAATAGATGAGTTCTGTATTTTCACTGTTCAACAGATGTGTTCTGACTTTTCACTGTTCAACAGATGTGTTCTGACTTTTCACTGTTCAACAGATATGTTCCGACTTCTCACTGTTCAACAGATGTGTTCTGACTTTTCACAGTTCAACAGATGTGTTCCGACTTTTCACAGTTCAACAGATGTGTTCTGACTTTTCACAATTCAACAGATGTGTTCTGACTTTTCACTGTTCAACAGATGTGTTCTGACTTTTCACTGTTCAACAAATATGTTCCGACTTTTCACTGTTCAACAGATGTGTTCTGACTTTTCACAGTTCAACAGATGTGTTCCGACTTTTCACAGTTCAACAGATGTGTTCTGAATTTTCACTGTTCGACAGATGTGTTCTGAATTTTCACTGTTCAATAGATGTGTTCTGACTTTTCACTGTTCAGTAGATGGGTTCTGACTTTTCACTGTTCAACAGATGTGTTCTGACTTTTCACTGTTCAACAGATGTGTTCCGACTTTTCACAGTTCAATAGATGTGTTCTGACTTTTCACAGTTCAACAGATGTGTTCTGACTTTTCACTGTTCAACAAATATGTTCCGACTTCTCACTGTTCAACAGATGTGTTCTGACTTTTCACAGTTCAACAGATGTGTTCCGACTTTGCACAGTTCAACAGATGTGTTCTGACTTTTCACAGTTCAACAGATGTGTTCTGACTTTTCACTGTTTGACAGATGTGTTCTGACTTTTCACTGTTCAATAGATGTGTTCTGACTTTTCACTGTTCAGTAGATGTGTTCTGACTTTTCACTGTTCAACAAATGTGTTCTGACTTTTCACTGTTCAATAGATGTGTTCTGACTTTTCACTGTTCAACAGATGTATTCCGACTTTTCACTGTTCAACAGATGTATTCTGACTTTTCACAGTTCAACAGATGTGTTCTGACTTTTCACTGTTCAATAGATGTGTTCTGACTTTTCATAGTTTACTAAAGGCATTCTGACCTTCATTTTCTTATTCTTGTTCTAAAATAGGTTCATTTGGATTTAAACTGTAACATCAATTCTTTTCTTGGACACAAAATATTATTATGTTTAGTAATATTAGTATTCTGTTTTAAATGTTTCAATTCGATGATGCTTAACATGAAAGCATTGAATTTTTGGGCAATATCTTTGACTTTTTGTTAATTACAATCAGTTAAAGCTGACATTATTATTTTTTTAAACTGGTTGACAAATATATGAGCAGAAATTTGAATTTGAATTAAATCTTGAATTAAATCTTTCAATTTTGTAATTTACCACCCGTTAATTATGTAATTTACCACCCATTAATTATGTAATTTACCACCCATTAATTATGTAATTTACCACCCATTAATTATGTAATTTACCACCCATTAATTATGTAATTACGGACAGGAAAACATCATCTGCAGTTCAAATGCATAATACAGGCAATGACTATTTTTTTCCCCATCTAATATTTATTTTTCTTTGTCTTGGTACAGATGATTTGTGCTGCTATTTTTACCCTTATCTACTTCCAGCTGTGTTATTTGTGATGTAAACAGAACTTTATGTATCTCCTCGACAGAACAGATCCTTATACACATCTGATAACTGTAAAAAAATAACAATTAACTAGTATTTATCTTTTATACTGAATTCTTTACTTTATTGATTCTATCGCATTGATAAAAAGTCTTTAGAGAGGGGGGGGGAGTGTTCAGTTAGGACCATCTCTATAAAAAAAATTTAAAACATTATTGAATTCACTGTCTAGTTCATGTCCATTGGGAAAGATAAAATAAGAAAAAAACAAACATTATACCACATCTTCTTATTTTTATATTTATACTCAATTAACAGGTAAATTTCTTAGAAGTTTGAATAAGAGAGAATATTGACAACATTTCCTTCATATAATACAACATTATAACCAAAGCTATAAAAATGTATCAGCAATGATTTAATGCAGAGTAGGCATTTAGAACTTGTTGAACAGCATCGAAATATAGAAAAATGTTGTAGGTAGCTTTTATACTTTCAGAAATACAATCAATTCAGAAGTTATGAAATAGATTAATGAATGTTTAGATAATACATGTTAAAAGGGGCAAAAATATATTCCATCTCTTTCATAACTTTTTAATTGATTGTTTCTCTGAAAATATAAATACTACATGTAACATTTTTAGATATTCAGGTGCATTTTAACAAGTTCTAAATCCGTACAAAATTTTATAAAAATCTGAAAAACTGCCCAATAACATTTACTTTATTTATTTTATTTATTATTCCAATCAAGGGCCTTTGATGGGCAGCATAACATGTACACATAAAACAATACATCATGATTTGTAACAGAAAAACATTTTTATATATTAAAATGAAACATTAAAAAGTTCAGACAGATGTTATTATCTTCATTCTATAAAAATCACATACATTTAATTCCAGGCAGGATCAGAACTATAAAATAGATGTTATTATCTTCATTTTATAATTTATATTTAATTAAATACAATTTATTGTAAATTTTTATTAACTGCATATTGTAAGCTACTGACAAATGGAAACCATGGAACAGTTAGCACTACTTGTTATAAAAGATTATTGACCCATCAGGGTTAATTATAACTAATTATTTCTGCAGATTTTCTGGATTCCTGTGTTGATTATTTGATCAGTGTTTTGAAGCCAAAAATATGAAAAGATTTATATTCACCTACCAGGAACTTGGTTAATAGACAACAAATGTGGGACAGTTATCGAAAGTATTCTCTTTTTAAGCATAACACATACTTATATCAATTTTCAATCTAGTTGTTATTTTTTTTACAGAAGTCTTCAACACAATGCACTATTCATATGTATAAGGAAAAACAACAAAACTGAAGAGATTTTTCTCCCCAAACAATGTATTTTTAACACATGGAAATATTTTTCTGTCACATAAACGATTTTATTAAAAAAAAATAGATTTAACTCCCTTAATTTAGCAGATATCTAATGGGATGACAGGATGATGCAAAGGAGACACACAAAAAAACCATGCTACCCTGGTACTGGATAAAATAAATACAATAATTATTGCATTCATTGACATATGTTGGTGCAACTTTTTGAATCTAAAACAAATTTTTTTATTAAGCAATTCATTGGTTTATTCTTAAAAAAAACCCAGTTTTTAAAGTTTTATGTGAATGGTGAGAATCATGGTAACCAAAAAGGTTTATAAATGTATAAATCTGTTTCATGTTGTCGCCAGTTTGAATTCCTACACAGGCAAAATAGTTCTGTGTGAGTGTTGAGGAAATTTTTGAACTGGACAAAATTTTTAGTGCTTTTTTTTGTAATGATGAGAAATTAAGGTTCGGACTTTCATTCATATATAAGAAAGTCCTTTGTTCACACACCAGTTAACTCCTAAAAAATAAAATTTATTACTATATAATAATTTCTCTTTTGCAGGAAAGTAATAATTGTTGAAAAAAAATGTTAACATCCTGATTAAGTGAAATAAACATAGAAGATGTGGAACACTACTTTGTCATTTGATTATCCATTACCTATGAACGATGACCAAGAGTGGCTGGAAAATTATCAACAGTACTTGAATAAATTAAATGTGTATGATAACATAGAGAATGGACTCAGTCGGTATTTATATGTAGTATTTCTAATTGTTGGAACATTTGGAAATCTTTCATGCGTGTATGGCCTTTCACAGTATTGTAGGACTGCATGGTCAGTTTGTTTCTATCTAGTGCTATCAATGTTGTTTGGATTAATAGAATTGTATATCTACTGTGGAAACTTGTGGTTCTTGTCTTTAACAGACAAGAATCTGACATTGGAGATCAACATCTTGTCGAATGCTGTGTGTAAACTGTATAATTTTGTAACAACTGTTCTTCTGTACTTCAACTCGTGGGTTATGGTGGCTATCTCTGTAGAAACAATGATAACAATTGTGTATCCACATCGTATGTATAAAATGTGTACGGTTGAACGAGCAAGGTCAATTGTACTTTTAATCACAGTTTTAGTCGTTTGTTTGAATCTTCATTATTTCTGGACTATAGGATTATCCCTTCCAGAGACAAATCCAGACGTTGACCAACGGATGTGCCATAATAATTACCAACCACAACTTTCTGACGAGATCACTTTTATTGTTCCACTTTTGGATTTTTTATTGGATAACATCATTCCACTCATCCTGGTGACAGTTTTTATCTATATGACTTTAGTAACTATGATATTAAAGAAAAAAGACATTACATTTGACCTAAAAAAGTACATTGTGGACATAAATACACTAATTCAGTTAAGAAAACCAACTGTTGTCATGTTAGTTTGGTATGCCCTTTTAAAGGCATGTCACTGTACGGAACATACTTTACGTTTTATACAAAGTCGAACGACTATCGACCTTCTTTGGGAAACACAATACATACAGATGTTTAATGTAACACTAACCTATTTTTTCATTAGCTTCAAACCCTTAATATTCATTGTAATGTGCAAGCAGCTTCGACAAGACATAAAAAAGGGATTATGTAGCATTATTAAATGTCTTTGTCCATGTGATTCTTGTGGACAGAGTCGATATAAATCATATATTACTCCAGAGACCAAGTCTGCAACAGCTGGATCTTTAATGGCAGTAGACAAGCAGTCCAATGGGGACCTGTTGCCAAATATTAAATGTACAAATGTATAATTCTGTCCAGATCAAACTCTGTGTTTGGATAAACTGTTTGATGATTGATATTTATCAAGGACCCATTCTGTACAAAGAGCAACACCTTACAGAAAATGTACATGTGTGTATAAACTCTGTCCAGATCAAACTCTGTAATCTGTATTTGGATAAACTGTTTGCATATCTATCAAGGACCCATTCTGAACAAGGATAAACACCTAACAGGCAATGTTCAAGTGAATAGACCTATTCAATGTTTGAATGACCAGATGACAGCAAAATATATAAAGGTGTAATTCAGTCATATAATTGTCCAATACTTGAATTACTGCAGAAAAAAAGACAATGGGCCAATCCGCTGATACTGATATTCTCCAAACAGTGAGAAAAGTGCAATGCAAAGACCTAACATTAGTACAGAAGAATTAGTTCTGTCAAGATCTAGTTCTATACAGAGATGAACTTCTAATGGAAAATATCTAAAATGCATAATTCTGTTTGGTGACATTCTGAACAAAGATAAACTATTAGAGTTTCTAATTCTGTGTAGGTGTCATTCTGAACAGGTTTGAACAACTGATGGCTTACGTTACTACTGATAGATTCTTATTCTGTCAATGTCTGAATCTGTACCAATAAAAAATGCTCATAAATAAATTATACTTTCTGAGTGCTGTTTGCTCAAATTAACAACATGGCCTAGCATCAAATAGGCCAGAGTGACCAGAATAAGATAAATATGTTACACTATGCACAGCTAGCTCTTCATGTATATAATCAATTTAAAAAGATATATACAGTGGATTCATTATAATTCGTGGGATACCAATTTTCGTTGATTTCTTGGGTAAACCACAGATTTAATTGTTCAACAAATAATTTCTATAAGCTTGTATGCAGACTTTGGCAAAACCATGAAATCAAATATCCACGAAAATACAATGTTTCCTCAATCCACTAAAATTAGTACCCATAAAAATAAACAGTACTTCTTTTCTAAAATTTTCTGTCTTTTCATACCTTACTATAGCTACAAAAAATAAAACAAATATAAATATGCATAGGAAAGTTAACTATATATGAATTGCTTTCTGTTTTCAGTTCCAGTGGGTTTTTTATATTCAAACTTTTAATCATGAAACAGCCTGACTGCAAATGACCTGACAGCAAGTGTTAGAAAACTAAATGTTTGATAATAGGTTCTAACATCCCAATGAGGATTAAGCTGATGCATATACTTATCTAATTAAATAACAATAAATCCAGAAAACTCTTATATTGATTAATCCTTATGACAGCTTAATAAGAACAGCATTAACCATCAGGGATTTTAGTATATACATAACAGGGAAGTAAATTGTTGACGATTACAACAGTACAGATACTGTTACGAGGTGAATGGCCGAATCTTTAATTTAAGCACAAGAAAAATTAAACTTTAAAAGAATCCCAGTTCCAATTTTCAAAACCAACTGAAGCAGGTTGTATCAATCTCTAACTACTGGAATCACATAACAAATATAAACACTTGCATTGATCTGACATCTATACGACAAAATATTCCCTATTGGTACAGATGGAAAATATATCAAATTATACTGTATTTCAATATAGAAATTATTCTGTATTACAATTAGTTACAGGTATCCTGTTACTGCATTGTGGGGGCATTGGTAGCATGCTTGCCTTAAATGATGGAAATGGGGGGCTTGTTTCCTAGCAAGGTAGGTAAACTGTTGACACAGAGTTATGTCTTGCCTGTATGTAATTTGATAGTAAAATGCAAATATCATCACTAACCATTAATTGTTCTTTTTTAATTGACTTAATCACAAGCAATAACACTTAAATCAAGTAAAAGTTTCAAATTTCATAGACAATGGCTGAGGGGTGAGGCCAAAAAATCTCAATAGAAATGAGATGTGCATATGATAATACAACTGCATACCAAATATCATTGACCAACCACTTGTGCTTCCCTTTAAACTGACCTAATCATAAACAATAACATTTAAACTATGAAGCATTTCAAATACAATAGACCATGACTGAGGGGGCAGGGCCAAATAATCTCCATGGAAATTGGATGTGCCAACGCTTTTACAACTGCATACTATCATTGACTTATCATAAGTGGTTCCCCTTAAACTGACCTAATAACAAGCTTTAACATGTAAACTTTGCAAAAGTTTCACAGCCAACAGACCATGACTGAGGGAGAAAGGCCAATAATCTCCATGGACACCGGATGTGCCAATGCTAAATACAACGGCATACATAATATCACTGATTAACCCTTTATGGTTCCCCTTAAGCTGACCTCAACACAAACTTGTATAGAGCTTATTTTGAAAGGGAAGGAACTCCAAATTATAAATCAGCAACATTTGTTTACTGAAGAGAACATAATCAAAACAAGTGTTTTACTCCTTGAGTACATTATTACTCATTTAAGTGACCAAGGAGTTAAAAAGAAGATGGACTTTTACATGTAATAAATTGTCTGCTATAAGGTTCTTTATACAACTATATTCTGTCCTGATAGTTATCTTTGATACTGGTCACTGCCATCACTTGTACAGAATGGGAACTATATTGTGATCATGACCAAGTCCTCACACACTCCAGGTGAGCATGTTACCATGAAACCTCCATGGAGGTTGAGAAAATGATTATAGACGACTTACAACACATGATGGCAAGGTGAACAATTAAACATAGCTGTTTATCAATGACTTACAACACATGATGGGTGAGCAATTAAATGATGGCAAGGTGAGCAATTAAACGATGGCAAGGTGAGCAATTAAACGATGGCAAGGTGAACAATTAAACACAGTTGTTTATCAATGACTTACAACACATGATGGCAAGGGGAGCAATTAAACACATCTGTTTATCGACTTACAACACATGATGGCAAGGGGAGCAATTAAACACATCTGTTTATCGACTTACAACACATGATGGCAAGGGGAGCAATTAAACACAGCTGTTTATCGACTTACAACACATGATGGCAAAGGTGAGCAATTAAACACAGCTGTTTATCGACTTACAACACATGATGGCAAAGGTGAGCAATTAAACACAGCTGTTTATCAACTTACAACACATGATGGCAAAGGTGAGCAATTAAACACAGCTGTTTATCGACTTACAACACATGATGGCAAAGGTGAGCAATTAAACACAGCTGTTTATCAATGATACAATATCACATACCTTCCAAAAATGATGAAAGAGTAACTTTTTGTTTGCTTTGTAATTGTAATGAAAGCTGTAAACCTTCCATTCAAGTAACACTACAAACCTATATATGTAACTATTTACAATATGATTTAACTTAATGAGAAAAAGTATTCAACCATCTTTAAGATAAGTGTATTCTGTAGTGAAAGTGAAATCCCATAAGGAGTCCGCTGCAGTGAAAGTGATGTCCCATAATTCACCAGACAGACAACAAATTATTTAATTACTGACAGAAATCTAAGTCAATACAAATGTATGCATTTCAATAACAACAATTTATCCACTACTTTGAATTGCCAGTTTTGATTTAATAACTCAAACTACATAACAACTGCTATCTCAAAAGAGATAAAATTGATGCATTAAATCCTATTTGAATTTTCATATTAAGCCATAACAAACAGACTTAATTTATTTTGTCACATTTTCATTAGTGACACAATCTTCAAAAGAAGACATATATTGGAAATATGATTCCAATATGACAGGATTTATTTGACAAGTGAAAAATGGACAGACATTTTTTTCTGCAGAAAACCATTTCACATAACATTTCACATATAAGTTTTGATGTGAGTCCTATCATTATAAACAAAACTGCTGACTGGCAACTTATATAATTAAGGTTAGTTTTATCTGCTAAGGATTCAGATCAGTTCAGATCAACTTTATGCTCCACTTACATTCCTACATAAATTTCAGTTGTGTGTTAAGTGCCACTCTGGGTAAGGTTTTCAGTTCTCTGTGGCCTACATGTTCTACTATATTCCTCCCTAAACTTTTAAGTATTGTGTTTATTGCCACTGTAACTTAAGTATGATCATTTCTAGTTGGACTACATGTTCTACTTACATTCCTCCCTAAACTTTGGTTCTGTGTTAGGTCACACTCTGGATAGGGTATGGATTAGTTCTAGGTTGATTACATGTTCTAATTACATTCCTCCCAAACTTTGGTTCTGTGTTAGATCCCACTCTGGCTAGGGTATGGATTAGTTCTAGGTTGATTACATGTTCTACTTACATTCCTCCCTAAACTTTGGTTCTGTGTTAGGTCCCACTCTGGCTAGGGTACGGATTAGTTCTAGTTGGACTACATGTTCTACTTACATTCCTCCCTAAACTTTGGTTCTGTGTTAGATCCCACTCTGGCTAGGGTATGGATTAGTTCTAGGTTGATTACATGTTCTAATTACATTCCTCCCTAAACGTTGGTTCTGTGTTAGATCCCACTCTGGATAGGGTATGGATTAGTTCTAGGTTGATTACATGTTCTAATTACATTCCTCCCTAAACGTTGGTTCTGTGTTAGGTCACACTCTGGATAGGGTATGGATTTATTCTAGGTTGATTACATGTTCTAATTACATTCCTCCCTAAACGTTGGTTCTGTGTTAGATCCCACTCTGGATAGGGTATGGATTAGTATTAAGGGGACTACATGTTCTACTTACATTCCTCCCTAAACTTTGGTTCTGTGTTAGATCCCACTCTGGTTAGGGTACTGATTAGTACTAGTGGGACTACATGTTCTACTTACATTCCTCCCTAAACGTTGGTTCTGTGTTAGATCCCACTCTGGCTAGGGTATGGATTAGTTCTAAGGGGACTACATGTTCTACTTACATTCCTCCCTAAACTTTGGTTCTGTGTTAGGTCCCACTCACGCTAGGGTATGGATTAGTTCTAGGTTGATTACATGTTCTACTTACATTCCTCCCTAAACTTTGGTTCTGTGTTAGGTCCCACTCTGGCTAGTGTATGGATTAGTTCAATGTGAACCTTATGTTCGTCCCGGTATGCAGAGTCATCCATGAAGGTTAAAAATTGCATATAAGCTCTGTCTAACATCTGAAAATAGACATTTGAACCCCAATTTTGCATTTCATTAAAAAAGGAACGATTGATTGGCGTTTTAATGCCATTGGCAAATATCAATTGCATATCAGGATGAGAACATTTTGATGCGATTTGAATATGAATATGAATAGATATAGGAAGATGTGGTATGAGTGCCAATGAGACAACTCTCCATCCAAGTTACAATTTATAAAAGTAAACCATTATAGGTCAAGGTACGGCCTTCAACACGGAGCATTGGCTCACACCGAACAGCAAGCTATAAAGGGCCCCAAAAAATTACTAGTGTTAAACCATTCAAACAGAAAACCAATGGTCTAATCTATATAAAAACGAGAAACGAGAAACACTGCTTTGTACTAGAACAACATGCTGATCAGGATATTTAATATGCTAGTTCACAAGGACCACTGACATTCTACAGGAAAACATTAGAATAGGAAATGATTATCAACTTCATATAAAAATGCTGAATGTGTGACACTGGGTCTTTTTGGTCTTTAAATCTTGGAAACCATAACTTTTAATTTGTACATATTTTTAAAGAAAAATTCGTAAGGGTTCCGCGGAACCCAGTGTCTCGCCTACTTTTGCTGTTAATCGCAGGCTCAACAAAAATGAGGAAAAAAAAATAATAAAAATATTCCTCTCTATACTATCTTTTGATTGTAAGTAGCTTCTGTCCAAGTTTGGTAAAAATCCAGGATAGTTTATGAATCTAATAAATGTTTTAAAAACTTAAACTGCAGACTGTATGTAAAGTTAACTTGAAGAAAAACTAAGTCCATTTATAAGTAAAATAAGGAAAAAATGGAACAAAATTTTAACAAAATTTCCTTCTAGATACTAGCTTTTAATCATAAACAAGCTTCTGTCCAAGTTTGGTACAAATCCAAGATAGTTTAAGAAAGTTGTTAAAATTTTAAAAACTTTAACCACAGAGTGAATGTAATGTTAACTGGCAGAAAAACTAAGTCCATTTATAAGTAAAATACTGAAAAATGATTTTTTTTTTTACAAAATTTACTTCTGGATACTATCTTATGATCATAAACAAGCATTCAAAGAGTATTGTATGGCAATACATAGTCCCCTACCGGTTAAAAACTCATTGTACTGAAACAAAATGCTCACATGATCTATATCTTAACATGGTGTAAACTATATAACAAATATTAGGTCAATATCTCCAAGCATGACTAAACTAGAGGCTCTCAAGAGCCTGTGTCGCTCACCTGATTCTACTTTGGTTTTGGAAATCATGTAAAAATAGATTAAAATCATAACAGATACCCTAATAATGAGTGAGGCCAAATTTGGTTTAATATTGGTCCTGTAATTTAATAAAAAATCCTGGTGGCCATCTTGAACAGTAAATCGGCAACAAAGTAGCAACACTTAATCAGCACCTCATAAGAAACATTTATGCCATGTTTTGGTTTCATTCCATTCAGTGCACCTCTAGAAGAAGCATTTGTATGTATTTCCCATAGGGTCTTATGTTAAAGGAAGTCCCCCCATTGGCGGCCATCATGGATGAAGGATCAGCTTCAAAGTAACAAGACTTGGTCAGCACCTCAAAAGGAACATGCATGCCATGTTTGGTTTTATTCCATTCAGTGGTTCTTTAAAAGAAGACATTTGTATGTATTTCCCATAGGGTCCTATGTTAAACTAAGTCCACCGCTGGCGTCCATCTTGGATTATGGATCGGCTTCAAAGTAACAACACTCGGTCAGCACCTCATAAGAAACATTCATGCCATGTTTGGTTTCATTCCATTCAGTGGTTCTCTAAAAGAAGACATTTGTATGTATTTCCCATAGGGTCCTATGTTAAACTAAGTCCACCGCTGGCGGCCATCTTGGATGATGGATCCGCTACAAAGTAACAACACTTGGTCAGCACCTCATAAGGAACATTCATGCCATGTTTGGTTTCATTCCATTCAGTGGTTCTCTAAAAGAAGACATTTGTATGTATTTCCCATAGGGTCCTATGTTAAACTAAGTCCACCGCTGGCGGCCATCTTGGATGATGGATCCGCTACAAAGTAACAACACTTGGTCAGCACCTCATAAGGAACATTCATACCATGTTTGGTTTCATTCCATTCAGTGGTTCTCTAAAAGAAGACATTTGTATGTATTTCCCATAGGGTCCTATGTTAAACTAAGTCCCCCGCTGGCGTCCATCTTGGATTATGGATCGGCTTCAAAGTAACAACACTCGGTCAGCACCTCATAAGAAACATGCATGCCATGTTTGGTTTCATTCCATTCAGTGGTTCTCTAAAAGAAGACATTTGTATGTATTTCCCATAGGGTCCTATGTTAAACCAAGTCCACCGCTGGCGGCCATCTTGGATGATGGATCCGCTACAAAGTAACAACACTTGGTCAGCACCTCATAAGGAACATTCATGCCATGTTTGGTTTCATTGCATTCAGTGGTTCTCTAAAAGAAGACATTTGTATGTATTTCCCATAGGGTCCTATGTTAAACTAAGTCCACCGCTGGCGGCCATCTTGGATGATGGATCGGCTACAAAGTAACAACACTTGGTCAGCACCTCATAAGGAACATTCATGCCATGTTTGGTTTCATTCCATTCAGTGGTTCTCTAGAAGAAGTTCAAAATGTAAAAAGTTTACGCCGACGACGGACGACGCCGGACGACGGACGACGGACGCCAAGTGATGAGAAAAGCTCACTTGGCCCTTCGGGCCAGGTGAGCTAAAAAGTGAGGAAAACTGATTATTTGAGTGAATTTTCCAAGTCCAAGGACCATAACTCTGCACAAAATCATCACACCGGAACAAAATGCAAACTTAATCTGTAACTTCTCATGATAAAAACTATATACCATTTATCAAATCAGTATCTTCAAGCATGACAAAAAAGGAAAACAGATTATTTGAGTGAATTTTGTAAGTTCAAGGACCATAACTCTGCACAAAATCATTAGACTGGCAAACAATTTAAACTTGTTCTGCAAACTTGTCATAACAAAACTATATACCAATTATCAAATCAAAATCTTCAAGCATGACGAAAAAAAAATGTGGAAAACCAACTATTTGAGTGAATTTTTTAATTCCAAGGACCCAAACTCTGGACAAAATCATAAGACCAAAACAAAATTTAAACATGATCTGTAACTTGTCATGATTAAACTATATACCAAATATCAAATCGATATCTTCAAGCACGAAGAAAAAAAAGTGCAGAAAACTGATTTGCCAGATTGACGGATAGACAGACAGACAGACAGACGCAAACCTAAAGTCCCCTTCGACTTTGTTGGTAGGGGACTAATAATTAAGGTGAAAGAAGTTAACTGATGTTCAAATCTCGTAAATCTATTAAAAGAGACAAATCAAGGTAACTCATCTGAAAATATGATTAAAACTGAACTTTCTGCCATGACAGAGAATGAGGATGAGATGGAAACTAGAAAGAACAACCTAAACCAAGCATTGGAGGCACATCAGGTGGCAGACATTTTCTCTACAAACAAAACCTTACACAAGTCATTGCAAAACTATTCAGTTAAACAAATCAAACCTAATAAAATAAAGTTCATTACAAGCAAAGTGCAAATGAATATAGGATGTGGAATGCTTGGTGACTTTTATACAGTTCCAAACTTTACAATGGTAGGCACTTATCATAGTGATTATAAAGATGTGATGAATATACTCATCTTCGATGACGATACTGCATGTATAGGAACTTTTCACAGTGAACATGGTCAAAAACTGCAAAAAGTCAAATTGGAAAACCAAGATATAAGAGTAGAGAGAGAAATCCCAATAGAAGTGTATGATTTTGCAATGACAAAAACTGGAGAAATACTAGTATCCTCTAAAAAAAAATAATCTGAAACTCTATACAAAAACTGTTAAATTGAAGACATTTAAGGGTTTTCCCCTTTGAAAACTTTGGGTGTTCATATAACAAACAATAATAGGATAATAGTGAGGTTGGTGGAATATTTAATACTACCTGCATCAAAAGACAGTATCAGAAAACTTGAAGTTATGAACCAGGATGGTGACATACAACATACTATTTAATATGACAGGGATGGACAGAAAATGTTAACTTTCTCTCATAGAATTTATTCTTTCAATGATAAGATATTAGTTGTAGACATTATTAACAAAGAAGAGGAGGGGAGGGTAGTAATGTTAGATTATGGGGGACAACTCCATTGGACCTACAAAGGTTTTGAAAGTATCACTTCAAAGGAGGTTTATAATTTTTTTCCAAAAGATGTGGCGATTACCATAACTGAAACGATTTTAGTGTCTGATTCTGTGAATCATGCTATACATGTATTAAATAGTGCTGGAGAAGTTATTCTATAGAAGGATGTAATAAAATGCTTCGCTGGGGCGCAGCTTGATACGACCGCAGAGGTCGAACCCTGAACAGTTGGGGCAAGTATGGACACAACATTCAAGCTTGATACAGCTCTGAATTTGGATTGTTATTAAATATTTGACACAGCATAGGTTTCTGACACAGAAAGAATGTGGTCTAAGAACTTGAATTTTTTTAATTTACCTATTATGGTCCAATGTCCAAAATCAAAATACATGGTTAGATTCAGCATATCAAAGAACCCCATATATTCAATTTTTGTTAAAATCAAACAAAGTTTAATTTTGGACCCCAACTTGGACAAACTTGAAAACTGGGCCCATAATCAAAAATCTATACACATGTTTAGATTCAGCATATCAAAGAACCCCAAGAATTCAATTTTTGCTAAAATCAAACTAAGTTTAATTTTGGACCCTTTGGACCTTAATGTAGACCAATTTAAAAAACGGGACTTAAAATTAAAAATCTAAATACACGGTTAGATTTGGAATATCAAAGAACCCCAATTATTCAATTTTTGATGAAATCAAACAAAGTTTAATTTTGGACCCTTTTGACCTCAATATGAAGCAATTTGATAGCGGGGCCCACAAATAAAAAATCTAAATTCATGGTTAGATTCAGCATATCAAAGAACCCCATATATTCAATTTTTGTTGAAATCAAAAAAAGTTTAATTTTGGACCCCAACTTGGACCAACTTGAAAACTGGGCCCATAATCAAAAATCTAAACACATGTTTAGATTCAGCATATCAAAGAACCCCAAGAATTCAATTTTTGTTAAAATCAAACTAAGTTTAATTTTGGACCCTTTGGACCTCAATGAAGACCAATTTAAAAAACGGGACCCAAATTAAAAATACGGTTAGATTTGGCATATCAAAGAACCCCAATAATTCAATTTTCGATGAAATCAAACAAAGTTTAATTTTGGACCCTTTTGACCTCAATATGAACCAATTTGATAGTGGGGCCTACAAATAAAAAATCTAAATACATGGTTAGATTCAGCATATCAAAGAACCCCATATATTCAATTTTTGTTGAAATCAAACAAAGTTTAATTTTGGACCCCAATTTGGACCAACTTGAAAACTGGGCCCATAATCAAAAATCTAAATACATGTTTAGATTCAGCATATCAAAGAACCCCATATATTCAATTTTTGTTGAAATCAAACAAAGTTTAAATACTGGACCCTATCTTGGACCAACTTGAAAACTGGGCCCATAATCAAAAATCTAAACACATGTTTAGATTCAGCAAATCAAAGAACCCCAAGAATTCAATTTTTGTCAAAATCAAACTAAGTTTAATTTTGGACCCTTTGGACCTCAATGTAGACCAATTTAAAAAACAGGACCCAAAATTAAAAACCTAAATACACGGTTAGATTTGGAATATCAAAGAACCCCAATAATTCAATTTTAGATGAAATCAAACAAAGTTTAATTTTGGACCCTTTTGACCTCAATATGAACCAATTAGATAACGGGGTCCACAAATAAAAAATCTAAATACATGGTTAGATTCAGCATATCAAAGAACCCCATATATTCAATTTTTGTTGAAATCAAACAAAGTTTAATTTTGGACCCCAATTTGGACCAACTTGAAAACTGGGCCAAAAATCAAAAATCTAAATACATGTTAAGATTCAGCATATCAAAGAACCTCATATATTCAATTTTTGCTAAAATCAAACAAAGTTTAATTTTGGACCCTTAGGACATTAATGTAGACCAATTTGAAAACTGGACCCAAAATTAAAAATCTAAATACACGGTTAGATTCGGCATAACAAATAAATAAATGTGATCAAATATTTTACAAATCTAATGCGCCATACTGTGCAATTAAAGATTACTTCTTGAAATTTTTCAATATTTGAAATTTGAAAAAAAAATAATATTTGAAGAATAATTCTTTTTAATTTCTGAAATCTGAAATGAGAAAAAATTGGCCCCCACAATTTCTTTTTATCCCCCCCCCCTTTTTCCCCCAAAAAAATTCTTTCCCTCAAGATATGGTCATAATCTCAATTCAAATTTCCAATGGAGTTGGCAACCATAATTACCCATTTAAATTTACCATAGTGCTAACTTAATCTATTTTATAATAGAATTAATAAAAATATAGTGTCAAATCTTTCATATGGATTTTTTTGTAAAAAAAAAAGATGAAAACATTTGCAGATATTTTTACTGGTCTTCCTTTATAAATATGCATTTCTTTAAACATAATTTAAAAGCAGTGTAAGGGAAGTAACCAAAACGTTGTATTTGGATTACCTCCCTTACACTGTTTTAGATTATCTTTATTGTTCATTAACCATTACTTTATACATAATTTAAAAGCAGTGTAAGGGAGATAATTTCAATGATGTATTTGATTTATCTCCCTTACACTGCTTTAAATTTTGTTTTGTACTAAAGTATTTGTCCATTAACCAGGACAACCTTGTTTTCCCCCTTTTTTGCCCCTAATTCCTAAACGGTTTGAGCCATAACCCCCCAAAGCAAATCCTAACCATCCCTTTGTGGTATGGAAACTTGTAGTATAATTTCAGAGAGATCCATACACCGTTCCACAGTTATTGTCTGGAAACTAGAAAATGCTCATTTTTTGCCCCTTTTTGGCCCCTAATTCCTTAACTGTTGGTACCATATCCCCCAAAATCAATCCCAACCTTCCTTTTGTGGTATTTAACCTTATGGTCAAATTTCAAAAAGATCCATTCACTTAAACTAAAGTTAGAGTGCGAAAACCAATATGTATTCGGACGACGACGCCGGACGACGACGACGACGACGCCAACGTCATACCAATATACGACCACAAAATTTTTTGGCGGTCGTATAAAAAGCTTAGGAATAGAATTTCCTTGAGTCTTAATTTACTATTAACACAAATGAAGTTCTGTGGATTGGGTGTAGTATATGGGAAGCAGACATAATAAGCTAATATAAGTTGTGTTAAGCTTACACAACTAAAATAAGAGTCTTAGTGATTGGAATATGTAACATATTATTATATATATCAATGAGAAGTATTGTGTTTGTATAAAATTGTGGAATATTTCCAGTTAAGTTAAAGTTTTACTTAAAATTGAATATGAAGTGAGCAATACATTTTTATTTCATTTTATCAATATTATACATTCATTTGCATTTTCTTTTATTTGTGTTCATTTGCAAATTACTACCAAGCGGTAATATTGATCTGGTCCCCAGAGAAATAAAAAAAAAAACTTGATATCTACGTTCCAATTGTTTCCTTTATACCACTTTTACTTGTTTCACTCTTCCTACATTTTAAGCCTTTTGTTTCCAACCATTTACCTAAAAATCAACATATTCACTACCTTTATAATTACTGTTTTAAAATTACCTTTGAAATTTCTACAAAACAATTGTTAAGTATAATTACCCCCAGCTGATGGTCCATGATTGGTTTACAATAAATACTATGTTATATACTGCAATAGTTTTTTGGATAAATCAGTTGATTCATTTGTTTTCATGGATACTAGTTTTTACTGATTAAAGAAAAATTGTAATTTCTCAGATATTTGATTTCATGGTTTGTCAAAGTCTGCATACAAAGTTATAGAAAATATGTACTTTGTTGGTCCTTTAAATTTAAGGTTTATACATATATATATATATATATATATATATAAACCCAAGAAATCCACGAACATTAGTATCTAATAAATAATTATAATGAATTAAAGGTATGACATAAGGTCCTCAAATTTCTTTATATGCTTTAAAATTGCCTTGTTATCAGTTCTTTAAATATTTAAATAATCCATAAATTATTTGTTATAAACTTAAATGTATAATATGACCTAGTAGTTGAATTTTAATAGTTTTCCAATAACCAGGAAGTAAAACCTATTCATAAATTACTGACAGTGACTGGATATTATAACAAAATGGCATTTTCTCATTCTGTAGGGAAAGCACAAACTCCAGCTGTATGTCAGTTCTGTGAGGAATCCACAGAAATTAAGTGGAAGTGTATTAATTGTGAACTATTCCTATGTCAACTGTGCAGTTCAAAGATACATAGTAAAAGTAAGGCATCAATGGAACATGAAATTATAAATCTTAAAGATTTAGAAACACAGAACTTCGCTACTTCCATGCGGAAAGTAGATCTTGATAACATGGTATGTACGAAGCATATTAAACAGAAGTGTTTTTTCTACTGTAATAAATGCAGTCAGCCGGCCTGTTCCGAATGTGTAGTGGAGACCCATAAACTGCACGACTTTAAAGCCATTGGTGAAGTGTATAAAGATATCATCTCTGAAATGAAGAAACTAACAGACACATTTGAAAACAATCTTAAAATCTGTAGAAATAAAAAAGACAAACTGCAAAAAATGCTTTCTGATGGTGATACAAATTTTCAAGAAACAAGGGGGAAAATTTTGCAAACTGAGAAGGAATTGAAAGAGGCTATTTCGAAACATGCCAAAGACCTCTTACAAGAACTTGAAGCAAAATGGAAACCTTCAGAAAATAGGATCAAAACAGAACTATCTGCTTTGAGGAAGAATGAGGATGAGTTGGAAACCAGGAGCAACAACCTAAATCAAGTGCTGCAGTCTCATGAAGTGAAAGACATTTTCTCTACAAGTAAAACCTTAAATAAGGCATTGCCAAAGTGTTCAGTTACACAAATAAAACCTAATAAGGCAATTAAGTTTATTCCTAGAAATATACACATGAATATACAAAGTAAAATACTTGGTGATCTTTATACTGTTCCAGACTTTGAACTTATAGACACTTATCAAAGTGACATTGAAAATGTGTCATCTATACTTGTATCCAGTGACAGTAATGCCTTTATAGGAAGTCATAATAATAAAAAGATACAGAAAATAAAATTTGAAAATCACAATATTAAAGTGGAGAAAGAAGTTCATGAAGTAGTCTGGGATATATCCTTGACAAAGGATGGAGCAATACTTGTGTCATCCATAGGGAGTGATCTGAAACTATATACTAAAGATGGACAATTAAAGACATTCAAATCATTTTCTCCACTGAAAACTCTAGGTATCCATGTAACCAAAGATAATAAGTTAATAGTAGGATTGATAGAACCTATTCCTATTCCATTCCCCCTAACAAAAGACAGTATCAGAAAACTTATGGTTATGAACCAGGATGGTGATATACAACATTCCATTGAATATGATACATGTACAACCAATCAGAGACTGCTAACATTTCCTTGTAGAATCCAATCTGTCAATGATAAGATAGTAGTTTTAGATCTTATAAACAAAGAATATGAGGGTAGGGTAGTAATGTTAGATTATGGGGGACAACTCCATTGGACCTACAATGGTTGTAATAGTACCAATTCTGATCTGGTTCAATTTAATCCTAGAGATTTGGCAATAACTTCTACAGACATGCTTTTAGTTTCTGATTTTATAAAAAATGCTATACATGTATTAAATCATGCTGGGGAGGTTATTGTATATAAGGATGTAAAAAGCTTAGGAATAGAAATACCGTTAGGTCTTGGGGTTGACAAAAATGAGGTTTTATGGATTGGGTGTGGTAGATTGGGAAATGACAAAAGTAAGATACACAGTGTTAAACTGATATAACCAAGATGTTAAAATAGACCAGACATTATCAATAAAGCTAAAAAAAAACATCTTTGAGTTTAACCTGAAGGGTCAGACCAGGGTTTGGGACCAGAAAATATCTACAAAGAAGGGAAAGGGACAAGACTTCAACTGAAGTATCTTATTGTTCACTTGTTTCAGAGTTTAATTTCTACTCTGAAAAAATCACACCCACAACTTCCCTGCCATTTTTTTTTTATTAATTAATATATCTTAAGACAGCTTCCCAATGAAGTAACAAACACAGAACATATATCTACAATCTGATTTATAAATAAGTATTGTTTAATTTTTATTTTTTGCTATGTGACTCTCATATATATTAAAACAAGTCAATATCTTCAAGCATGACTAAAAACAGTGTGGAAAACTGAATATATGAGTGAATTTTTTTCAAGTCCAAGGACCATAACTCTGCACAAAATTATCAGACCGAAACAAAAATTTGAACTTGATCTGTAACTTGTCATGATAAAACTATTTACCAATTGTCAATCAATATCTTCAAGCATGATGAAAAAAAGTGTGGAAAACCTATAACACTCTAACATTAGATATGATGTAATACAATGTATATCTAATTTGAAATTACAATCAAATATAATTAATAGTTCCAAATATTTTTTCTTTCATTTGTCACAAACTAATATAGATTTGTAACTTACCTATAAAATGTCAACAACTTTTATCTACACAATGTAATGTAATGAAATATATACCTTAATAAAAATAGATTATTATCTAATTAAAGGATTTCACTTAATAAAAAAAAAAATATATATATACATGTAGCATTCAGAAAATTAGTTTATACAAAATAACATATTAACCTGCCACAAAATTCCTCAAACAATTTACCAAAGAATGTCTTTTAAAAAATGAGTTATCTCCCTTTGTACAGATTATATGGTTTAACATAGTACTCTAACATTAGTTATGGAGTTTTTTCATGGACCATAACTCTGGACTAAATCATCAGACCGGAACAAAATTCGAACTTGATCTATAACTTGTCATGATAAAACTATAAACCAAATATCAAATCAATATCTTCAAGAACGAAGAAAAAACGTGTGGAAAGCTGAGTTGCCGGACTGACGGATGGACAGACGGACGGACAGAGTGCAAACCTAAAGTCCCCTTCTTTCCAAGTTTGGTAGAAATCCAGGACAGTTTAAGAAAGTTATTAAAATTTCAAAAACTTTAACCACAGAGTGAATGTAATGTTTCCTGGCAGAAAAACTAAGTCAATTTATAAGTAAAATACGGAAAATGGAATTTTTTTTTACAAAATTTACTTTTGGATATTATCTTATGATCATAAACAAGCTTCTGTCCAAGTTTGGTAGAAATCCAGGATGGTTTAAGAAAGTTATTAAAATTTCAAAAACTTTAACCACAGAGTGAATATTTGTGGATGCTGCTGACGACGAAGCCGCCGACGGAATGTAGGATCGCTATGTCTCGCTTTTTCGACAAAAGTCGAAGGCTCGACAAAAAAACAACACACAAAGTAGAATAAGAATAATCTGAAAAAATAAAAAAGTCTATAAAAAAAAAGGAGTTGTCGGATTTTGATCCACAATAAAAATTAAAACTTTCAGCATAAACAAATTTACTCAAATCTTTTCAAGGCAATGAAAAATTACCTACAATACAAAAAAAAACCTCTTATAATTAATTGCTCAAGTTATCACTCAAAAACAAAGCATTTACAAACAAACAAACAAACACCAATAATGAATATACATCTTTGCCATATAGTTCATTAAATTGTACAATGCATATAAAATAATCAGGAAGAAAGGTCGTACAGTGTATAAAAATCAAGAAAAAAGGATCAAGTACTATCAAAACTTTCGAGGTATGCTTTACACTTGAACATCAGAAACATTTCTGATTCTACGTCAAGTCACTTAACCATTCTATAGAAAACATAATTGGAGAGCTGCTAAAATTTTGAAGATAGGAACTATTTTTTCTGAATACTAATTAATTGCCTATTAAATCATCCACAAATGGAGTACTGGTCAGTAACAACCTCCTTCAGTTGCCAATAATATTAAATATTCACAATAATTGACCATAATCAACTTTCTCTCTGAGGACACAATAATGTCTTTACTTCATAATAGTTTTTGACATCTGTACTGTGTGACCTTTATCTCAGCTGCTGTTATGACTGCAGGCCCTCTAACATTTAGAACTTGTTTCTATTTTGATAGAGATGAACATCATTTGGTCTCTTGTGGAAAGTTTTTTTGCTTCTTATTTTTACATAATTATTTCCAGTCAGTTGATGAGGTTAAAAGTTCATTTTTGTGCAGTTCTGTAGAACATGTAGTCAGATTTATAAACAAGAATGCACAAGCTAAACTGTCTTGTCTGCTTTACCGATCATGATTGAATCTTATGTTGAATGTCTTTGATTTTTGATTTTTTGATTGTTGGTGTTTAACGCCACTTTTAAGCACCGCTTTTGGGCTATTTCGTGGTGGCCAGATTTTATAGGTGGAGGAAGCCGGAGTCCCCGGATAAAACCACCGACCTTCGATAGGAAAACTGACAATCCTAGTCAATTAAGATTGGAGTTGAAAGCACCCGCACGAGCGGGGTTCGAACTCACAACCTCAGTGTTGACTGTCTAGTGATTACAGTAGTAACTACTTAGACCACTCGGCCACCGAGGCCCCTTGAATGTCTTTGAAGTCATCTGATACTTCAAATTTAAAAAAAAAAATAAAGTTGAAAGTATTATATAATCTTTTAAAAGAAAATCCTTTATCTCATCCAAATCTTTAGAAATTAACAGGGTCAAATAACCTCCATGGAAATGAGAAATGCCAATGCTTATAAAACTTGTACCAGATTTCATTGACTTATCGTAAGTTGCTTCCTTAAAACTAACCTGTAAACTATGCAAAAGTTTCAAAGTCAATGAATCATGAAGATGGGACAGGGGCATATAATCTCCATAGAAATGAGACTTGCAAATGCTATTACAACTCAAAATATGTTTAACTGCCCGCCCCAAACCCCCCCCCCCCCACATTCTTTATGTGCCTGTAGTTCAGTGGTTGTCGTTGATTCATGTCTGTCATATCTATTTTTCATGAATTATTTTGTTAGAAATTAGGTCGTTAGTTTTCTCAATTGAATTGTTGCATATTTTTCATTTCAGGGGCTTTTATAGCTGACTGTACAGAATAGGTTTTTCTCATTGTTGAAGGCTGTATGATTGCCTTTAAATGCTTACATCCTCTTCATTTGAACTGTGGTGGATAGTTGTCTCATTGGAAATCATACCACATCTCCTTATTTTTATATTAAAACATTCAAAGTCAAATGACTATGCCTGGAGGGGGGAGTCAACTAATCTCCATGGAATAGAAATGAGATGTCCCAATGCTAATAAGTCTGCATACCAAATATAATTGACATACTTCTATTGGTTCCCCTTAAACTGACCTAATCACCACACTAAAACATTGCTAAGACCACCTTTGTCGAGGCTACACAAAAACTGTGCACAGAGGACTTAGTTTAGTATATATACATGCATTGGTTTAATAATTTCCTTAACATTATGGTAGCAATACACAGTTAGAAGTTTATTTTCGTGTTTTGGCCATGGTAAATTTTTTAAATATGAAAGTTTTTGTACAATAAAATTGATTTTTAGATAGTTGAAGAATAATATAGCCTTCCAAGTGGGTTTATATGAACATCTAGATTGTTTTTAGCATGTTTTATAGGCCATTTTTCTGTTTAACAGTCCATATTTTCACATCCGTACCGCCCATAGGTCCAGAAATTATTGTAGTGTTTTTCAACAAAGATTTGACCCTCGATCTTTTCAATTCAATTTTATGGAAAAACGAGCAGAAATGCATATGATTTTTTTTTGACCTCTTGATAGATAAATGTCTATGGTTTCAGGAAAGGTATCACTCTAATGGATTGAAATTCTCCTTTGGACAAAATTTTGAAGACTTTTGTGACATTTTCACCCCCCTTTTTGCAATTTTTGTATCAAATAAATGCAGATTGTTGCCATGGTTACACCAAAAAGAGATTATATTTCACCATTATAACTATTGGAAATCAAATCTATGGAAGATTCTCTTTCCATAAATATACACATGCATAACACAACTATTAAGCCTTATTTGTTAGAAAGGAAGGAAAAGAGGGTGGTTAAAAATTATGAGTGTCAATTTTAAGTTTTTTTCCTAACTGTGTATTGCTATCTTATAATTACACGAAACTCTTAAGCATAAAGCTTAAGGTTTTACTACAGGTAACACATAAACCTATCACTATTAATAATCCATAAAAATGAGGTCAAGGTCAGATGAACCATGCCAGATTTACATGTTCACCTTAAAATCATTTCATACACCAAATAAAGTTGTCCTAATGCTTATAGTATCTGAGAAAAGGCCTAACCAAGTTAACTTAACATTAACAAATGAACCAAAGATAAAGACAATATGTTTATTTAACAATGGTTCTATATACCAAATAAAGACCTATTCCTATTAGTCAACCAAACAGTTTTTTTTAGTACTAACTGAACCATGAAAATGAGGCCAAGGACAACAAACATATGCTAGACAGAAACATCAGACCATCAGGCTTCTGTATACTTATGTGATGTATCACAGTATAGATAGGTTTAGATTGACCCAATTTGAGCAAGAGTTACTTCCCTTTTGTTGCCATTTTATACGACTATATGCGCAAATTCCATCATAAATCAGCCAAATTCAACTTGTTACACTGACCGTTACTACGGTTAGAATTTAGAAAAAGGTTTTTTTCTGAACATTTTTTTAATCCTTTTAGCCTTACTTAGTTCATCATTCAATCTAGTTAGGATCTCTTATCACTTATGAGTATCACATGTTTCTTTTAGCCTTGCTTAGTTCATCACTCAATCTAGTTATGATCTCTTATCACTTATGAGTATCACATGTTTCTTTTAGCCTTGCTCAGTTCATCACTCAATCTAGTTAGGATCTCTTATCACTTATGAGTATCACATGTTTCTTTTAGCCTTGCTTAGTTCATCACTCAATCTAGTTAGGATCTCGTATCACCTATGAGTATCACATGTTTCTTTTAGCCTTGCTTAGTTCATCACTCAATCTAGTTAGGATCTCTTATCACTTATGAGTATAGCATGTTTCTTTTAGCCTTGCTTAGTTCATCACCCAATCTAGTTAGGATCTCGTATCACCTATGAGTATCACATGTTTCAATGTGTTTAGCCTTGCTTAGTTCATCACTTAACCTAGTTAGGATCTCTTATGAGTATCACATGTTTCAATGTGTTTAGTCAAATAAGAAAATCAACAGTGTATCCCTACAAAATGGTAGCCAAGGGAAATAACTCAAACTCAAATTATGTCCTTCCAAACCTATCTATTCTGCATTCTGATAAACAAAGCTTTAAACAAATAGTTTATTTGACATTACTTGTAGGCGAAACAAAAACAGAGTGAGGAATTTAATGAACAGAAGCAGTAAAGAAACATATTGGACACCTTTAACCATTTGGAGTTATCTGATGCTGATATTGAGTGCAGCAGCTAAGAACTGTCTTTATCTGTAGTTGTTTTGAAGACTAAGTGATTATCTTGGCATTATCAGATTTTTTTTTATATACAGTGTAGTATATCTGTTTTATGTTTGCCAGGTTTGGATGTTATGTCAATTAACATTTTTTTCAATCTCTTCAGATTAATTACCTCTGCTTACAAAGTAGAACAGTAACTTTACCATATAATGTTTTTTTAAGCAATCATAGGAAAAGTTCATGTAAGATTACAAAGTGTAACAGTTGTTCTAAATGGGTTTTTGTAAAGCTTGTGAATGATAACAAAGTGCAGCAGTGTAACTACACAGATTTTTGTAATGCTTCTAACCATGCAGTCACGTGAAATAGTTAATCAGAAATGACAAATCAATCAGCACCCATCACACCTGCTAAATCATTTAACATTAAAATGATAAAACATTTCTGACAAGTAATTATAAACTAGCATGTTAGCAGATCATTATAATCATCTTATAATAGTGAACAAAGTTATATGTTGGGTAAGATGGTCAAAAGAAGATTGGTCAATGCATGAATTAAATTAAACTTTTCTTCATTTGCACAACTAGCATTTTGTTTGAAATTGACATTCAATTTGTTTTTTACAAACTCATTTATGAGTGTAAAGACAAAATAATATAATCTTCTTTTTAAACTTGTATAAAAGACCTTGAATTCCATCAAAACTGAAATTAAAAATGTTTTGCAAAGCTATACCAATTAAAGAATCTTTAAGTGACTAAGCTCACATACCCTATGCTCCCATATGAAGAGGGAAAACTTAAATTAACCTGATGTCACAGTTTTATTTCTTCTTTTTTGCTTTTAGATAAGATTCTTTTCTATTATGATTTACTTTGTAGCATAGGGTATAATCTGTTGACAAAGCCAATTTGCCAACCTTGTCCCAAATATTAACCCTTCCAGGAAAATAAACAACCAAGTCTTTTTTAGCATATTGTTTAAACTTGAAGAGAGAAAGTTGACCTTCCAGTCTTTCCATGTCACTGAAATACTAGTTGATATTTAGAGTCTTTCTGATAAATAACGAACAAATATTTTACTTGAAACCACAACTAATTTGGCTATTTCTTTAAATTAATTGATTTTTACCTGCATAAAGGAAATTAAAACTAAGCCAGAAATCTATTTCTTTTAAAAGTATGGAGGCACATATGCATAAAAGATGAAATGCTATTTCAATGACAAATTATAAAATAGATAGGTTTGGGGATAAATGTGTTAAAGAGAGCTGAATAGTATTGAATGAATGAATGGATCTTTCTTGCAAAAGCATAAACATGCTATGGCAAAATTAACCACATATATTACTTTGGTAACAAGAGTGCACACGCTGAAATGTCTCGCCTTCTTTACTAACCATTGATATTATGTTGATAGTCCTAAATATAAAGCTTTACTACAACTATCACATAAACTTAACATGATCCAAGAAAATGAGGTCAAGGTTATATAAACCGAAGGAGAAATACATGTACACCTTACAATCATACAATTCACTAAATATAGTTGACCTATTGCTTATAGTTTCTAAGAAACAGACTTAACCAAGAAAAACTAAACATTGACCAATGAACCATGAAAATGAGGTCAAGGTAAGATGAACCATGCTAGGCAGACATGTACAGCTTACAATCCTTCCATACAACAAATATAGATGACCTATTGCTTATAGTTTAAGAAAAACAGACCAAAACACAAAAACTTTACACTGAGCAATGAACTGTGAAAATGAGGTCAAGGTCAAATAAAACCTGCGAGACTGACATGTTCATCATAAAATCTTTCCATACACCAAATATAGTAGACCTATTGCATATAGTATTAGAAAAAAAGACCAAAACTCAAAAACTTTACTTTGACCACTGAACCATGAAAATGAGGTCAAGGTCAGATGACACCTGCCAGATGGAAATGTATACCTTACAATCTTTCCATACACCAAATATACTAGACCTATTGCTTATAGTATCTGAGATATGGACTTGACCACCAAAACTTAACCTTGTTCACTGATCCATGAAATGAGGTTAAGGTAAAATGAAAACTGTCTGACGGGCATGAGGACCTTGCAAGGTACGCACATACCAAATATAGTTATCCTTTTATTCACAATAAGAGAGAAATTAACATTACAAAAAATGTAAAAAAAAATTTCAAGTAGTCATTGAACCATGAAAATGAGGTCAAGGACAATGGTCATGTGACAGACAGAAATTTCGTGACATAAGGCATCTATATACAAAGTATGAAGCATCCAGGTCTTCCACCTTCTAAAATATAAAGCTTTTAAGAAGTTAGCAAACGCTGCCGCTGTTGCCGCCGGATCACTATCCCTATGTCGAGATTTCTGCGACAAAAGTCGCAGGCTCTACAAAAATTGTGTTTTCGCACAGATCTATAAGCTGGACAAACTAGAACAAAATGATGTTCATCTTCAATAACACACATTTTAAGGCATCTACATTAATGATTTTCTCTTGGAATGTTAGTGTAACGACCAACTTCAACATCTAACTTTAATGTTCCACTACTTACCTTTGTTAACAGACAAACATTATTGTCATAAGTAAGATATTGGAAATCTATTAAATCTGTTAATGACTACAACTGTTACTGGTATTGACATTTCAATCTTTTGGCTAAGGATGTCTTTTTTTCTTCTTTTTTTGTAGTTAAGGAAAAAAAGGGGGGAGGTTATTGAAACCATTTCTCTTTTTTGCAAATACATGCAAACGTAAAGAAATATTTTAATAGAATAATTATAATACAGTTAATATTCTGCTGGACATTTTGAAACTCTGCAACAATGCTTGATAAAAAGGGAGATAAATAATAAAAGGTTCAAGAAGAAATAGATATATTAAAACAATTCCACAAAAATATTGTTTGTCTTGAAAACAAACATCTAAAGTTTTATTTGCAATCACAGAAACCAAACATTTTTTTGAAACTGTATCCAAAAAAACATGGGAAAGGCATTCCATAAACTCAGAATAACTTGCCACTAAGTACATGGGAATCCTCCTGAAATCTGAACCTTTTCAGGAAAATTCTTTACAAATGATCATCATTAGAACATTTGGTTATTGAATATCATACACAACATTCTAAAATGGTAGGTTTAATCAGATTGTACAGCCTACCAAACCATAACTTTTATTACAATCATTTTCAATTCCAATTTATCACTAAACCCAAAAACACTGAAGTTTATAAATTAAATAATCTTAAATGTTATTCAACCAAAGCAAAAGTGTATTGATCAAAGTATACTTAGATTATCATCTTGAAACCTTATGTTTTTAATGGATGGACAGACAGAGTGGTGACTATATGCATTTCAGATTTTATTTCAAAAGACTAAATTAATTAAAACTCTTTTAAGTACATTGATTGCATGAATAGCAAACAATCTATCTACTAACTGTTTGTCTTTCAGAGCAATCATTTAAAAAGCTTATTTTGTTGAAGCAATTTACCAAACTTTTTATCTATGTATAATGTGAGAGTACCAAATTTCAACTATTTTGACAGTTTTTTCACATAAAATTAAAACAACATCTTCACATTTTTTTAACACTTTGACAATAGTTCATGCTTGTTTAAGCATTTTGTATGAAAGGATGTCTGTTTTATAGTTTAATTTCTCATTTTAAAAGCAGATTTTTGTTGACATTGCATGCAACGTTTCGGTAAATCTTAACTTTTTTTCACTGGAGACTTATCTGTTGATATATAATGTGATCGTTTTGTGTACATTAAAGTATAGTTAGCATTGAAATTAGTGTCACACCTTCTTATTATTCCCAGCATGGCATGGTCTAAAAGATTCTGGAGAGAATACTGCCTAAGATGATTTGGGTATTTTGTTAAGCATATTTTGGTTGACCTCCTTAAATAAATTATGCAACAATCCTAAGTCACCAGCTCTGGAGTATTCCTTATGAAGGTTATTCCATTAATATAAGCCATGTACATGCAAAGAAGTATCATATTATCAGATGCAGATTTGTGGGGGGGGGGGGGGGGGGGGGGGGGGCAGGGAATTTAGAGATTGAGTAACAAGAGTTTTTACTTATTCTGAGATAAATGTTGGAGTGCTCAATTCTGAGTTTCTGTGAAATGTTTTGTGGACTGAATCTGATGATGTTTTTTGTTGTTTTTGTTCTTCGACATGTAAATGTTGCACTAGTGGTCGATTACCCCTTTGGAATCTTACTTTTTATATAAATATAAATCATGCCCTAAAATTTTCAATTGCATAAAAAACGAACATGTTAACGTCTTTCTAGTTCAACACACAAATTCACATGTCATACTTACAATTTTACGCTACTGTATGTATTTCATTCAAATTTTGTAGGGTCAATTTTGTTTTGATTTTAATTCATTTGGAACGAATAGAAGCAGAATTGTCACTGGTTTATTTGTTTATTTTGTTATAATTTTGTTGTTAGGCGTTTTTACTTTCTGTGATATAAACTTGAGTCGCATTGACTATTGTGTTCCCTGTCCTGTGTGATTAAAACAAAAACAGTGGTAATAGAGTAAGGCTAACTAGCAACAGGATACTCTGATTTCTGATTGGAGTAATTCTAATAATTTCTTTGAAGTTTTGAGACAGCACTGGCATACTTATTTGGATTCGTGATAGACCGCACGGTAATTTCTCTTTCATGTGCCCATTTTCTCTCTCTTGGAGTAAGGGTGATAACTTGCTTAACTAACAACACACGTTTTTTACCCCGAATTCTGCTAGAGGCGTGCAATTACGTATCCTTCGCCTTCAATGAATATAACTGTAATATTGAGGGATATCTACTAATAATATTTCTGTTCGATTATTATCATTATTTTGAAGATATAGAATCATACAATACCTTTCTTTTCAGTCCAAATAATTATGACGTCTTGAAAGGCTATTTCATTTTTTTGCTGTGACGCCTTACGAAGGCATCACAGCAAAAAAATAAAATAGCCTTTCAAGACGTCATAATTATTTGGACTACTTTCTTTCCAGAGAAAGCTTTAATACATGCACAACAGTTAACACTCACCTCTCTTACAGTAACATTCTCTATTATTGCACCAAGTGCCGGAATGGTTGATGTTCTGACCAATCTGAAATTAAAAAATATCAAAAAACATTAATTCAATGAATCAATTTCATCATTTAAAAGATTTTTTTTTATTATCATAAAATCACTTTCCAACTGATGCAGAAACATCTTTTAGAACACAAATCAGATAAAAACAAAAATCTCCTCTTTCTCTAATGATGAATTCTTCTTTGAATTGAAGGTACTCCAGAATTGCTACCATTATGACCAAATAACCAACAATGTACAGCCCTCTTTACTTAAGTAATTGATGTCCAGCATAATAGCTGATAAATATAGAATGGGAAAATCTTAAAATTTTCACCATATTGTTATATAATGTACGATGGGAAGAATGAACTTACATTTCTGGGTCGTTACCAAGTGTAACTAAGGCAGGAAACACTCTTGATGAGACTAGACTTTCATTTACACCTTTGACCAGTAACTGTAAAGAGAAAACAAATATTGGAAATATTTGAATGCTTTATTTCTAATAGCAACATGAAATTATTCAATAATAAAAAGATAAATGGGGCAAATACAAATTTGGCTATTTTCAGCAAACAGTTTAACAATTAAAATGTGTACAAAGAAATTTCACATTAAATCTGATTGTAAAATAGGTGGACCATATTACCCTTAGACACTTTCTTTACAACCTAATGTTTTTGGAGTACCCATTGAAACTGCTAACCAATGAATCATTAAACAGGCAACAAAGGTGTGTTCGAAGAACCTGCTGCACTAGTCAGCTTTTTTATTTACCATAGCTTATACAGAATTCATGATTATACTACAGGTACTTAAAATCTTAGTACTAAATAGAAAATTAACAACAGACTCTGATAATTTCACTGTAGCGTTAAAATTTATTTCATACATATCAAAAAGTTCTTTGATAAACATTTACATACATAAGTTAATAATGTACAAAGCTGATGTTGATATTACATCAGATATAATAATTGGTTGCTTTTAGACTTTGGCATCTGCCTTGACATGTTACTGTCAAGTTGTACAATCTTCTTCACTTTGTTATTAAGATAAGAACACTTACAATTTGTATTATATCTTTAATGCATTATACAATTAATGATAACACTTATCAATTACCATAATGTTTTAGTGCACTGCCAAATTAATTGTTTACAATGTTTTAATGTAATTCTGGAAGTCAAAAGGACTTTCTCAGTGTCATAGTTTCTGTGACACTATAAGACTGCAATGCAAATATTTCTATGTGATGAAAAAGTATGAAAAAAAGGTTTATATTTTCAATGCATATTACTCCAGGTGAAGAGACAGACTTTACAAAACACATTCAATGTATATGTGTATTGCAATGTTTCCAATGTAAATTGCAAAGATATGATATTGATATTTTCATGAAGGCTATGTGGTGTTGTTGTAATAAAATTATACTATATTATGTAATAGAGGATGGTAGTCTCTAAGATAGACATGAAAAATGGCATTCTTTGTTACAAGACTAACCTCTTTTGATAAGCTCTGTTGATTTGAAATAAAGTGCTAAGGTTATAAAGATTTCTATCACAAATCAGTAGTAATTCACAAAACAGCACATGTACCAAGAAAACTTAACATTGAACAACATGAATCTCTAGCTTTTATAACTAAGTGATAGGGTAAAATCTGCTTAAAAATAACTTAGAAGTTTGCATGGCTTCAAGAGACATACTGATTAATTCATCAATAGGGAAAATAATTCATTTCCAAGAACTTGAAAGTAGGGAAAAACTCAATCCTTCAAAGAAATAATTCAGTTCAAATAAATTAGCCACTCGAATTATTGAATTGACCTGATATCAATCAAAATCCTCAGGGCTATTCCATTAAAATGTATGTGGGAGGGTAGGAAGGGAAGTTTAATTATTGAATGTGGGTCATGGGTCTTTTTTCAGTATGCGTCTATTACCATTATGCAAAATTATCTAAAAAATGGTTCTTGGTTGTAGGGATATTTTGAAAGTCCCTTCCTACCCTCCCACATACATTTTAATGGAATAGCCCTCATACAATCAATAGAAATACAGTGAGCAGGCTAAACATGATACTCTCTGCTCTAATTCAACTTAAGGTGATATGTTTAAGTATCTTTCCTTTAAGAAGTCTGATCATAATTATTTAGCTTCATACTTATAGTACATTAGTACAGGATTCCATTATCCAGTGGAAACTCACCTCAAACAACCTTGCCGCTGATGCCCTGACTTGAGCAGATGTGTGAACAACTCCGTCCCACAGAACTGTTAACAAGAGATCATGGTTTGCAGAATCACAACTAAAAAGAATAAAAAATAAATACACATTATTTGAAACAAGAAATCTGTAAAGTAATCTGTTAGCCATTGTTTATTATTACATCAGGGTTTTCGATATCACAAACTAGTCAAAACATTTACTAAATGATATCATCGGTACAAGGACATTATTCGTAAATATAAATCAACATGCAGACATCTTATACGTTCAGGTATTTCACATCCAATCTTTTATGGTAATATTCTATACAAAGCACAAAAATGTCGTCATTCACCTCAAAAGATAACCAAACCTTTAAACAGACTTATTCAGAAGAGATATAGTTCCTTAAAGATGGCATATTTTGGAATTAATATTGGGTCTTTGCATTGGAAATAAACACATTTATTCTAAAACCAGTTGTTGGCATGATACGGGTTATGTCCTTCTCATATATTTTATGATGGTATGATACTAAACCCATAACGGTAGGGATTGTGCTTGATTTTCATATGATGAAGACATAATCTGTCAATCAGTTTAATTGAGGTCTGGAGCTGGCATGTCTATAACTGCTAGTAGTCCTTTGTTAATTAATGTATCATTGTCATTTTGCTTAGTTTCTTCTGTTACCTATTCTGAAATCGGACTCAGACTTCTTTTAAACTGAGTTTTACTGTGTGTATTGCTGTGTGTTTTTTCATTCTACATTGGCTAGAGGTATAGGGGGAGGGTTGAGATCTCACAAAACATGTTTAACCCCGCCACATTTTTGCGCCTGTTCCAAGTCAGGAGCCTCTGGCCTTTGTTAGTCTTAATTGTTTTTTTTAATTTTAGCTTATTTATATGTTTTGGAGTTTAGTGTGACGTCCATTTTCACTGAACTAGTACACATTTTTGTTTAGGGGCCAGCTGAAGCTCACCTCCGGGTGCAGAATTTTCTCGCCGTGTTGAAGACCCATTGGTGGCCTTGGGCTGTTTTCTGCTCTTTGGTTGGGTTGTTGTCTCTTTGACACATTCCCCATTTCCATTCTCAATTTTATTTACCATTCTAATTCAAATTCTAAATGTACACACACAAGATATTCCACTGGATATCATATATTACTTGATATTCTCAGAATAAAAATGGATTTTCCCCCAGTTATTTTAGATATTAAAAAAATAAACCTTCTTATCTTGTTTGTCTTTAGTTTTAACTCATCATATTTTCAATAATGGCATTCAGTTTTGATCAGGATTCAAAAGTAGCTGGCAGAATATGAAAAAAAATGAATTGTAAGGAGATTGAGTTTTTTGAATATTTTCTGAAAGTAACACCCTATCTGAAATTCTATTTGGTCTTTTTGGTGGATAGTTATCCAAATGGCAATCACACCACATCTCCTTATTCTTATATTGAGAAAAAAATATGTACATAATGAGTTGATCTGAATGAATATTTAACAAAGGTAAGTGTAACCATAGAAATTTAAAAATTTGATGCTTCAAAAGGGTGCTTTGTACAATTTTCTTTCCTTAAAATAGATGAGGCAGATTTGAAGCTTGACTTAATTGATCTTATCTGACACTCAAAGGGTTTTCTGTACAAATCATATTATTTTCAAAAAAACATGGAAGATTTAAGCTCCCTGAGGGATCTTTTCATATATATCAATTACCTTAACACAGATACCTAAGATTTGACTTGTTTAAAAATATATTTGTATAAGGTAGCAATACACAGTTAGGAAAAAAACTTAAAATTGACACTCATAATTTTTAACCACCCTCTTTCCCTTGCATCATATGTATTTTACCTCATTTGTCCAAAAAATTGAATTGAAAAGTTGAGTAAAAAATACTTGTTGGAAAACACTACAATAACTTCTGGATCTATGGGAGGTAAATTATTCTTTAGCTATCTAAAAATCAATTTTATTGCACAATAACTTTCATATTTGAAAAATTCAGCAAGGCTAAAATGTGAAACCAAACTACTAAAGTTCTTTGTATTGCTACCTAAGCTATCTAAACTTAAAACTGGTAAAATGATTTGAATCTTTTAAACAAAAGCAAATCTTACATTCTTATGCAGCTGCTTATCTATTTAAATATACCTCATGGCAAACTGTTTAAAATTTGCATATTAGCCATTTCTTGTATATCACTCATACTGATGAAAATGTTTGTGGAAAAAAAGCATTGTTCCCTTTCTTATGTAATTTTTTTTGTTAAATCATCATGGGAACCTGGTACAAAGTCTTACCTTAAAACAGATATGGCTGATTTGAGGCTCTCTAAAGGAGCTTGGTATAATGATAATGTACACAGAATTTCTTGTAAAAATTGACATAGTTGCTGTTTGTCTTCTTCCTGTGAAAGAGAAAAAGATGCCAATATTTTATGTAGGTTATATATAATCATTTTCTTTCCAAACCATGTAAATCCTAAGTTGATTAAAACTGTGCATTTTCACTTAAAAAATAAATGGGGAATGTGTCCATGTGACACAGATGATGCCCTAGCTTGCATATCATATAAAGTCATAAAGGGATATAACTCTAGAACGGTATAAGTGACACCACCAAAATTCAAACTTAATCTGTAGTTTGTGGTAATTAGCATTGTGTATAAGTTTCATAACATTTGGTTCAGGCAAACTAAAGTTAGAGAACGGAAACGAAAAAAATTCAGCATTTTTTATGTTTATAAAGGGGCATAACTCAAGAACGGTAAGTGACTCCCCAATATCGAACTTGATCTGTATTATGTGGTAATAAGCATTGTGTATACGTTTCATAACATTTGGTTCAGGCAAACTAAAGTTAGAGAACGGAAACGAAAAAAATTCAGCATTTTTTATGTTTATAAAGGGGCATAACTCAAGAACGGTAAGTGACTCCCCAATATCGAACTTGATCTGTATTATGTGGTAATAAGCATTGTGTATACGTTTCATAACATTTGGTTCAGGCAAACTAAAGTTAGAGAACGGAAACGAAAAAAATTCAGCATTTTTTATGTTTATAAAGGGGCATAACTCAAGAACGGTAAGTGACTCCCCAATATCGAACTTGATCTGTATTATGTGGTAATAAGCATTGTGTATACGTTTCATAACATTTGGTTGAGGCAAACTAAAGTTAGAAAACGGAAACGAAAAATTCAGCAATTTTTCCATTTGTAAAGGGGCATAACTCTAGAACGGTTATAGTGACGCCACCAAAATTCAAACTCGATCTGTGTTTTATGGTAATAAGCATTGTGTATAAGTTTCATAACATTTGGTAGAGGCAAACTAAAGTTAGAGAATGGAAACCAACTTTGGGACGTACAGACGGACAAGGGTAAAACTTAATGCCCCCTCCGCTACGGCGGGGGCATAAAAATTGTGTGACCAATTAATATACACAGAAATGGTCAAATAAATGTTTTGGCATGGGAAACCCCAAAAATTACTTAGATAAAAATCTTAAAAACAGCAGTTGACCAACTGCTTGTCCTATAGAAGATTGTGTGCAAATTGAATGAAATTCTGTCAAGCTGTTTTCAAGGAGTTGCTGTGTAACAAACTGATATATGCAGAAATGGCTAAGTCACTGAAGAAGAATTTTGGTTGAATTCTGTCAAGCTGTTTTTAAGGAGTTGACAAATAACAAAGTGTGACCGGACCACTATACAAGACAACAGAAGTGTGTCCCTAAGTGTCCAAATAGTTTTGCTGGCCGGCAACACAAGAAGTTTGAAGGGAGATTAAATCGTATTTAGCCTACTTTTTACAAAGTTTATCAGTCGATGCATTCTTTAGTAAATTTTGCCTTCTTTTAATTCCACTATTCAGATTTCATTCAATTACTTACTGAACTAAATGCAGTTAACACTCCACTTGCATAAACTGGTACTATACTGGTAGTTACTGCTGTCTGTTTGCTCCTCATATAAGAATTCACATCTACAAAGGTAATAAAAAAAAATACACTTAACTGATTTGTTTTCTCAGAATTCTGTGATTTTGTAACATCAATTTGGACACAAAATAGTAATAGATTAATACTAACCCATTTAAAAAAGCTAAAACATTATACTTTCTATGAAACTTTTTTTTGTGTAATAATTTAAAAGCTCCAATAAAGTATTTCGTTCTGCATCATTTTATTATTCAATAATACTTCTTAAAAAATCTGTTTTAATTTGTCATTAAAAAATAAAATGGTCTACACTACAGTCAATTTATTTTTATACCAAAATCGATTGAACTGACAAAAAATAATTTGAGATAAAAAGATTTATTATAGTATTGATAAACACCTATTTGATATTATTTTCGATTAATTCATCAATTTTAAAAAATTTCTCTTCAACATACCTTCATCGTCATTCTGTATGAGTAACTCTATAAACTTTGGTCTAACCTGAAAAAGTGTAAACAAAATTAAAATCAAATACTATGGTGTCAGCTTTTTTCTGATAGTTAATACAATAAATCATTGTATTCCCTTTCCCTGGGGAGTATAAGTAAAATAATAGCATGCAACTTTCATTTAGTTTTGGACTAGTTCAAAATAGTTTGAAAATGGTGATTTAACTGTAGTTAACATTGTGTTCTTGTCATTATGTAAGAATTCACATACAATAAAAGGGTGACTGCATGAATATTGGTGAACTCTTGAAACAGTTCATAATTGGTACCAGCAGATTTACAGGGGGAAGCACTTATATGCTTATTTTGAAGAAAAAATTATAGGAGTCTGACAACTTATTATTCAAATATAGTACAGTAAATGTTGTATTATAGTTTAGGATCCTACCTTTTTCTCTACAAAAACTTTCCCAAACGTCCGAGATATAGTGAGAAAACATGAACACAACTGGCTTATGACCTTTGGCATAGATAATCCTGATCCCATTACAACTTCTAATAAACGTGGAATACTGAAAATAAAAATATCATCTAGATCTTTGTAACATAAGGACTAATGAATTTTTTTCTATCACATACATTGTAGGATTTAGTCTTCAAAAATGAACTATATAAAAATAAGGAGTTGTGGTATGATTGTCAATGAGACAACTCTCCACAAGAGACCAAATGACACAGAAATTAACAACTATAGGTCACGGTTTTCAACATTTTCCATTTTTTGTATTGTATGCATTTTCCTGAAATATCCTTAATGTGTATACTGTGGATTTATTTTTAGTCATGGGGGAATACCAATTTTCATGGATTTTTTGGGTAAAGGAGAAAAACAAATTTAAATATTCAACGAAGTACAAATTTTCTTGAAGATTATACACAGATTTTGGCAAAACCACGAAATCAAATATCCATGAAAGTGTAATATTCCATCAATCTATGAAAATTGATTACCAAGAAAATAAAATGCTCTGCAGGGCGCAGCTTGATACGACCGCAGAGGTCGAACCCTGAACAGTTGGGGCAAGTATGGACACAACATTCAAACTTGATACAGCTCTGAATTTGGATTGTGATTAAATATTTGACACAGCATAGGTTTCTGACACAGAATGAATGTGGTCTAAGAACTTAAAAATTTTAAATTGGACATTCACCTATTATGGTCCAATATCCAAAATCTAAATACATAGTTAGATTCAGCATATCACCCCAAGAATTCAATTTTTGATGAAATCAAACAAAGTTTAATTTTGGACCCTTTTGACCTCAATGTGGACAAAGTTGATAACGGGGCCCAAAAATCAAAAATCTAAATACATGGTTAGATTCAGCATATCAAAGAACCCCATATATTCAATTTTTGTTGAAATCAAACAAAGTTTAATTTTGGACCCTTTTGACCCCGATTTGGACCAACTTGAAAACTGGTCCCCATAATCAAAAATCTAAATACATGTTTAGATTCAGCATATCAAAGAACCCTAAAAATTCAATTTTTGTTAAAAACAAACTAAGTTTAATTTTGGACCCTTTGGACCTTAATGTAGACCAATTTGAAAACGGAACCAAAAATTAAGAATCTAAATACTGGGCCCATAATCAAAAATCTAAATACACGGTTAGATTCGGAATATCAAAGAACCCCAATAATTCAATTTTTGATGAAATCAAACAAAGTTAAATTTTGGACCCTTTGGACCTCAATGTGGACCAATTTAAAAACGGGGCCCAAAATCCAAAAACTTAATACACGGTTAGATTCAGCATATTAAAGAACCCCAAGAATTCAAGAATAAAACCCCATTGAAATTGATCAAGAAATAAGCAATTTATACGAAGTATCTTCTTTTGCACAATACTGTGCAATTGAATATTTCTTGCTATTGCGCAATACTGTACAATTGACAATTTCTTGCTATTGTGCAATATTGTGCTATTGGATATTTCTTGCTATTGCGCAATACTGTGCAATTGAAGATTTCTTGCTATTGCGCAATACTGTGCAATTGAAGATTTCTTGCTATTGTGCAATACTGTGCAATTGAAAATTTCTTGCTATTGCACAATACTTATTATATAATAATTTACACATCCTGTTTGGTGTGTGTATCTCCTACCATATCATTATTATTTGCTTTTAAATATTAATCAGAAATAACCAACTTAAAATGGAAAATTTTAAAAGAAAAAAAAAAGGAAAAAAAGAAAAAAAAAGAAAAAAAAAAAATCCCCCCCCCCCCAAAGTTTTTGAACCCCCTTATGATTCATCACCCCCAAACTCAATCCCAGCCTTCCCTTTGTAGTATGGTACCTTGCAGTACAATTTCAGAGAGATCCATACACTTGAACACAAGTTATTGTCTGGAAACTAGAAAAATGCTTATTTTTGGCCCCTTTTTGGCCCCCAATTCCTAAACGTTTCGGGCAATTACCCCCAAACTCAATTCCAGCTTTCCCTTTGTGATATGGAACCTTGTAGTACAATTTCAGAAATATCCAAACACTTACACACAAGTTATTGTCATGAAACTAGAAAAATGCTTGATTTTTTGCCCCTTTTTTGGCCCCTAATTCCTAAAATTTTGAGGCAATTACCCCCAAAATCAATTACAGCCTTCCCTTTGTGATATGGAACCTTGTGGTACAATGTCAGAGAGATCCATACACTTACACACAAGTTATTGTCTGGAAGTTACAAAAATGCTTATTTTTGGCCCCTTTTTGGCCCCTAATTCCTTAACAGCTGGTACCATAACCCCCAAAATCAATCCCAACCTTCCTTTCGTGGTATTGAACCTTATGGTAAAATTTCATGGAGATCCATTGACTTAAACTAAAGTTAGAGTGCAAAAACCAATGTGTCTTCGGACGACGCAGGACGACGACGCCAACGTCATACCAATATACAACCAAAAAATTTTTTAATTTTTGCGGTCGTATAAAAAATGAATTCACAGTAATATCAATCATTAATTGTGGTACAAAGCATGAACACAGCTGACAATAAACATCAGTAATTTTTTATGTGAAAAGAGCTGATTAACATTAGTAACATGTATTTACTGTATAGATCATTAATATTCTTTGTCTTTATTTGTATAAACAATTTAAAAGGGGTTCTGCGGAAACCTGTGTCTCACCTGTGATTGCTGCTGTAAGTGTAAAAATGTAATGTTGACTTAAAAAGTGAGTCCATTTATCAGTATAATACAGAATTTAAAAAAAAAAAAAAAAACTTTTTTCTTTCGATGCTATTTCTTGGTCTTGAAGATTAGCTTCTGTCCAAGTTTCATTACAGTCCATGAAGGTTTACAAATTTATCATGTCAAAAAAATTTAATTCAAGCCTGTCTGTAAATGTTAACAGTAAAAAACGAAGTCCATCTATCAGAAAAATACTAAAAATGTAAAAAAAAATATTTTCAAAGGTTTGCTTCAATCATTATCTCTTAGTCATTAAAAAGTTTCTGCAAAGTAATTGATGTGTAACAAACTTTAACCCCAGACTATATCTACTTGTTAACTGTAGACTGAGCCTGAGTGTTAACTGTAAAAAAACTTAGTCCATTTATCAGTAAATGAAAATAAACATGTTCAAAATTTTGCTCTGGATACTTACTGTCTTTTGGTCATAAACAAGCTTCTGTCTAAGTTTCCTAAAATTCTATGTAGGTTTGACAGAGTTATTGATGTCTAAAAAAACTTTAACCACAGACTGAACCTAAATGATGACGCCGCCAACAGAATTTAGGCTATGTCTTGCTTTCGTGAAACAAATTTTATAGGTTCAACAAAAATGAAGTAGTTTTCATATTTGTGAGTCATACAATGTTGTAAACAATTTAACATAGGTAAAATGATTAAGCTGTTAGATTCATGTTCAAAGGAACATACTGCACTTTAACCATTTATTCCAAATTTTTATTAGAAAAAACAACATTTTTCTTCTCTGCAATTTCTTCAATATTGTAATGGCATACTGTAACTTCCAGGTTTATGTCCTGTTAAGAAATACACTATAAATAAAGATTGATTGTTTTTTGGCAGAATTTTCATGAATATTGCAATCCAATTTGACATTAAAAATAAAAGAAAGGGTAATTTAGTGTTTTGAAAAAATATTACAACAGCTGATACATTCATTTCTAGCCTTTATCTAATTTTGTGGAATTCTGTACATTGTTTTCTGCCAAAATTTTCAAATAGACAAGCTATATCTTAAATACTTACAAATTATTTACAACCCAATTAAAGCTATCCCATGGTTCAAACCATTCTTGAGATAGATGATTCTGAAATCGGTGAACCAGGAAAGATAAGTCTTCACTGTCACCTATTATTACGTTCAGATCTGTTAAAGGAGAACTGGATTTAGGAAACTGAAATTCTGTAAAGAAAACAAAGAGATAAATTTGATGCTACGACCATTATGAAACAAGTAAAAATTTTCTACAAAATAAATCTACAAAACCCAAAAAAACTGGAACTGGACCACTTATGCAATATACACAGAATTTTGCATTTAATATGTTAATACAAGTAAGAAGGGGTTTATTAATGCATTATTTTATCTCCTGTCTGCATGTGTGGTGACATCGTGGTTTCTGTATAGAAGGAAATATTACAAATTTGAAAAGACACAGCAGTCTATTAGAGAAACAATGATTTATAACCTACTACAAAGATAACATTTTAATAAAAGAACAGCATTCCAATATTCCCTGTCTATGCACATATGTAATATTTATAATAGATTCAAAAGTATTACAAAATTCTTCATGTGAAAAATTATTAGGTGTTAAAATTGACAGCACACTTAACTGGAGAAATCAAATTGACCACGTTTGTGCTAATATATCATCCAGAATATACCTTCTTTCTAAAATAAAGAAATTTTTAGATATAAATGCAAGGAAAACATATTACAATGGGTATATTCTGCCCCTGATTGACTACTGCTGTATTATTTGGGGTGAATGTAAAAATGAAGGGATAGCAAGAATTTTAAAACTCCAAAAAAGGGCAGCAAGATTAATTCTAGATGCAGTTCCTTTATCCCCCTCAGCCCCCTTATTTAAAGAACTTGGGTGGATGACAGTTGACAATAGAATCAAATACCACAAATATTTACTTCTATATAAATGTATGCGTATGGAAGCACCAATGTACCTAGTTCAAAAGTTTAAACTGAAATCAGATAATAATCCTTACTCCCTGAGAGGCGTCACTCAAGGTAATCTGATAGTTCCTAAGCCAAAAGCTGAGCTATTTAAGAAATCTTTTGTTTATTCTGGATCAGTGTTATGGAATGGACTACCACACAAAATGCGTAAAGCTCAAAACACTTATACTTTTAAACAAAGTATCAAGAAGTACTTAACACAGTCCTGATAAGATTATGTTTTCTACAATGTATTTGTATATTCTTTTATTTTTATTTATATTTGATTTTTTGACTACATGTACATCTTGAACAGCCTTATATCTTATCATGTTAGTAATATTACACTGAACTAATTGACTGTAAATTAACTATGTGTAAATATCTGTTTTTGATTGTATTGTAATTTGTATGTGAGGGCCTCAGGGAAGATTAGTTTATTGTAACTAACTGAGTTTACCCTCTTTAAATAAAGAATTTATTATTATTATTATTATTATAATCATCCAGGGGAAGTAACTCTAATTTGAAATTATTTTTTTTAAATACTGTTGTAACATGAAGGAGTAAGATCACTTCGGGCAATGCTACGGGGACAAAAATGAACTTATCATATATATATCATGTAAAAATTGTGTGTTCATTTAGTTTTGTTTGTCCTTGAATTTTCTAAGCATGCTAAGAGTTGCTACTTGTATATTTGTGACATGGTAACTATGGCAATACAATTACATATCTTATTGAAGAATGATACAATTCGAATTTTTATTTAGGTACGGCTATCATAATATCACAGATAAATATTGGAATGAAACATGATAACAATGGCAATAAAGTTACATACCATCTAACTGAGGAATATCACAGTCTATATCTTTATCTAGGTATGGCCCTGATGATATCACAGATATATAAAGGAATGTCACAAGTTCCTTCAATGAAGACAATAACAACAAGAATCTGCCCTCATTTAATGGTATGGTCTGACTAGTAGATGCTCTTTTAGCCCCGGCTGCACACTGAAATACAAATAAATAAAAATATAATGTAAGTTCAATTTAACTGATTGTACTAATTTTCAATATTTTCTGGGGTCTAAACAAAATACAAACTTGAAAGTTAAATAAAAAAATGACCCCTATAAACTACAAGGTTAAAGTTGATTGATTGTTGGTTGGTGTTTAACATTACTTTGAGCACTCTTGGCTAAATCATGATGTCAGTTTTTACTGATGGAGGCAGCCTGAGTACTAAGAGATAACATTGACCTTCAACAGTACCGGTAATCCTGGCAATCCTAGTCAATTAAGATTGGTCAGGGTTTGAACTCACAAGCTCAGTGTTAATAAATGTTGATGAACTACTTAGGTCACTTGGTCAGCAAGAACTCACAGATAAAAGTTATAAAAACACAACATTTTGTTGCATGATAATGTTATGATTGATTGATTGATTGATTGTTGGTGTTTAATGCCACTTTCAGCACTATTGGCTATATCGTGGAGGTCAGATTTTTTTGGTGAAGGAAGCCAGAGTGCCCTGAGAGAACCACCAACCTTTGGCAGCAAAACTGACAATCCTAGTCAATTAAGATTTTAGTCAAACACACCTGCCACATGCCGGGTTTGAAATAATGCACTCAGAATTGGTAAGCTAGTGATACTAAGATTGACTACTTAGACCACTCTGCCATTAAGGCACTGATAACGTTATGATACTTCAGAAGGAACATATCTGTCTGATATATATTAATTGATCAGATGTCAACTCTTCAAATAAATTTTTTTATTCTAAATTGCAAACATATTTATTGTAATGAAGTATGAATAAGTTGTGCAAGTAGTTATTAGTTCATGTAATAGCCTAAATGTTACTATAACTGTACTTCTACATGGATATAAACCATTTCCTCAAAATCACTTTGATACTAGGTATCAGATTATGCTGTAGTCCATCCACATCATACATCCTTAAGGACAGCAGAAATAAATATTGTGTTGCTAAGACTCACCATATCTTCCAGATCTCTCAGAATACTATGTATAAGATTATGTTGTAATTTATCCAGATCACATGCCCACATAGCAAACGACGGCAGAAAAACATGCTGCGTTGCTATCACAACCTTCTCTGAGGTGTCTTTTAATGCCATTTTTAATAACTCATAACCCTACAAGTAGAATAACTACTGCTAAAACAAAATCAGAATGAGTTCTATCAAATACATGTATTATCTATAACATATTAAAAGGAAATAAAACTTCAGTGACATTGATGTACAGTCGAACCTCGTTGTGTCGAAGTCGAAGGGACCGGACCAAAGTATTCGACTCATCCGAGGTTCGACTCATCCGAGGTCGAGTGTGTCGTCATAAATTTGGAATGCATGAACTACGGTATGAGATTTGTGTAAACTAGATACAATGAACAGTGTGCCTTTTTTCGATATGACACTTTATGATTGTGTATTCAATCTACATTTTTGGTCCTTCGTAATAATTAAACACACAAGTACAGATACAAATCATGCACAAATAAAATCAATAGTCTACACAAATATTTACAAATGTCAGTCACTATAAATTATGAAATCCCTCGCGGCACGAAATAAGTTCTGAACGATCTCTGATGAGGTCGTCTGCTTTACATTAAATTATTATGAATTTATTATAATTGTCCTAATCCTTTTATTTATTGTAATTAATGAGTTTTAAATCTAACGTTTCATTTAATCTCGGCTTGGGTCATTTAAATTCGTTTTGTTTTTATCTCAGGTGAAAAATGTTAAACAACACTAACATTCCGCTTGATCGATCAACAAAGGTGTTAATTAGCGGTCTTCATAAACATGTCATTTTAACTGTTATACAAACAAGTATGTTTACTCAGCTTTAATCTCTTTTGAAAATGATTAGGTGACATAAGAAATACATCCGATTTGAATTTTTATCATTAGGCCTGCATCTTTCGAACTTCGAGACATCGGGGTCAATTTACATTAATTTTACCTCGACGGGACTATAAAATTTACTCTACTTAACCAAGTATTCGAATCAACCTAGTTCGACTCATCAGAGGTAATTATGCATTGATCAAACGGGAATTTTACCGGGACCGAGAAATTACTTTGACTCATCCGAGTTTTCGACACAACCGAGTTTGACACAACGAGGTTCGACTGTATCTATGGTAACTCTACTTTTCTCCAAAGTATTTATGTATAAGCAGACATTTAAGTGACATTTATAAAAAAAGCTGTGTAAATCTAACCATTCGACCAAATATTTTTTTTTAATCATTATAATTTATTGTTTTTCTTGTTTCACATACTGTGACCTATAATTGCTTTTATCTTCATCATTTGAACTTTGGTGGATAATTGTCTCATTGACAATCATACCACTTCTCCTTATTTTTATATCATGGATCTTTGTCATATATCTTCATTACTCTACTTTGCTCTAACTTTATCAATATAAGTAACTTTCTTAAGACAGGTATGTGAAAAGTTTATGTAACTTTCCCAGGGGTCGTGAATTCTTAACAATTTTTATGTGTTTGCAATGTGCTAATTAGTCAGTTAAACTACAGAAAATGTAAGATATTTCAAGCTCAATGTTTATTTTGATTCAACACAATAAAAAATGTCACTTTATCCTTCTATCAACATTTATCATAAAAAATATTGTATCCTTGATAGCTTACCTGGGTATATTTATCAGGATTTTGAATAAATCCTACAATAAGCCCTAGACTACGTATCACAGCTTCTCGAACATCATCATCTTTGTCATCCATCAACATTTGTTGTAACATGGATAACACTAATGAGCTGAGTAATTCATTCTGAAATCAAAGAATGAGTATTTTATACTGACATACCGATAGGCTTAAGTAACATTACACAGAATTCATGAAATTTCCAACATAATTTTAATAAAGAATTTAAAAGCTGAATGAAAATGTGCATTAGCTGAAATTATGGAAACATCAATATATTTATCTCCTTAAATCTACCATAATTCCTTAGAATTTCTAAACTTTTGGACTCTCATTCTACTTTTCAGTTTCAATAAAATCTTCCAAAATGGACTGATAAAAGCAGTTAACACATTATCAAAGCATCTAAAGACTGAATTTTTAGGTGTTTCTATGAGTGAGTTTAGACATATGTAAAACTGCTGATGTCACATTTAGGCTGTGTTAAATAACTTACTGGGATGTATGGAGATAATGCCCCACATGCTTCAGCTACTAAAATTCTTCTCTCTGGATATTTATGGTTGATCTGTAAAACACATGTATCATTGTATAGTCAATATACAAGTTGTTAATCATATGTACAATACATACAGTGATGTTTTTTTTATCTATATACTGGTTTTCAAAGACATCTAATAAACAATCAAGGAAAACTTTTTTTAAAAATATTTTTGCACTACCACTAAAAAAATTTCCCAAGACACTTGATATTAACCCTTAAAATGTATACATAAATGATCTCTCAGTCACAGCTGTGACCTATTTTTCTACTTTTTCATTAAAAAAATTTCTTGCACCATCCTTCCCCCCTTTTGTGGTCATAAATATATTCCATCTCCTATGTTGTCCAAGCTCACTTATGGTAAGTAAAAGCAACAAGTGTTAACACAACTGACAATGTTTTTATCAGTAAGTTACTTACCCTTTTCACTTCATCATATAAAAGTGAATGTATCCATGTTTAGTGTTTCAAAAAATGATTACCTAAAATATTTTTTATCGGACAAAATTTATCGTGCCTGTATAAACCAGATACTGTCTGTATATACATTTAACAATTTGATTTAAAAAAGGCATAACAAAAACTTAAAGTTTGACAGGGGAAATCAAATTAAAAATTAGGCAGTATTTTTAAAACAAAGGCAACACAACATTTTCTAAATTTGAATTCGTTAAAGAATAGTATGAACTGACAAATCCCAAACTGTAAAATAACATAAAAATACATTTCCAATGGCATCATAAACAACTGGTATGTTTTCTGGGTTAGGATCATTTAGAAGAACTTCTATTTTTGTATATCGTTGCACCCAAGTTATATATTACAATGCTGCTACTCATCTTATAAGGGTGATTTAAAAAGATAATTATTTTTTTTTTATACTGTGGTGTTCAATTTTATTCTGTCAGACCAGTTCCAATTATTTTCTATCAACATTTCCATGCCTTTCAAAATTTGGCCATGACTATTCCCAAGAAAGTTTATTCAATAAAACCCTTCTAATGCAATACACAAGGTACAGCATGATTATTTTACCTGTTCCCAGCATTGAGGTAATAATTCTTCCTCCAGCCTCTGTTGACCAACATGTTGAGCAAAAGCCACAATACCAGTCAATATCATGTTCCTGTTCAAAGTTTCAAGAAATCAGAAATATTAAATTGGCACAAATTCAAGAAAGCAGAAATGATAAATTGGCCTAATTTCAAGAGAGCAGAAATATTAAAAGTGGCACAAATTCAAGAAAGCAGAAAGAATTTTACAGTTATCTACACAACATATTTGACAAACAACTTATTTAAATTTAATGAAATAAGATTGACAAAAGGCTTTAGAAAATTTACAATAACTGAGATTCCAAAGCATTACTTCAAATGTCAGCAATTATTTCAAGTACAACAAATATAACAAATCAAATTTATTTATAAATTATTGCATTGAAATATTGTCCTTCATTAAATACCTTTGTTCTTCATCTGGTTTTTTGATTAGATTAAACAAAATATTCAGTAGCCGATCCCTGTCTTTACTGTTTGGATGTAACATTGCTGTGCATATAATCAGGGGAATTAACTCCTAAAAAATGCATAAAATTGTTTGACATTATATTACAGTATGTCTAACCAAGACAACTTCCGAAATAAAGAAAATATTTACTAAACATTGCTTTATATAATAAATTGTGATTCTTTCTTCAAGTTAACCTAAAAAGTATTTTCTGTAAATTATACATCAGACCATATATTGACCTCTAGATATGTTTTTTTTGTATTGCTTGGATGCTGTCTCATTGATTTATACATGAAATCTTTCTTTCAACTTTACTTACAGCAAGTAACATTGAATAATATAAAACAAGGAGGAACTAACTCCTGAAATCAAACATTAAAGAATAATTTAAGTCTATACTTCATGTCAGGAGGCACTTCGGTGGCCGAGTGGTCTAAGTAGTCGAGCTACTGTATCAGTAGCCAGTCAACACTGACGTTGTGAGTTTGAATCCCACACAGGGCAGGTGCACTCGACTCCAATCATCAGTTTTCCTACCGAAGGTCGATGGTTCTCTCCAGGCACTCCGGCTTCCGTCACCAATAAAGCCTGACCGCAACGAAATAGCACCATAGTGTTGAAAGTGACGTTAAACACCAATCAATCATGTCAGGATTTGTATGTTCTCTTTTAAATTGTAATTGATTGCCTCATTCAATAGACGTTTATATTAAATAATAATGTCTCATAGGTAGTAAATTTTGCATTCTAAAACTTAGCCTACCTGTTATTGTTTTATTGCAAATTTTAATGTGTGATATGTCCTCAGGCGTACAGGCTAAAATTTTTGACAGTATAAATAATTTTCATATCTGCAGGTAAGTCTGATGATAGAATGCTATGAAATCTATAAAAAAGTAAGTACATCATTCTGAAAATAATATCTTTTACTGACCTCACGTTTAGCCAACAAAACATTAGGTACAATGTGTGGCAGACATCGACTTAACATTAACACTACAGTATCAGTATCTGATCCCACTATCTGAGACACCTGGAAAAGTAAAAAAACATAAAATTAACACATTAGTAATGGTATCTCATCCCACTACCTGAGACACCTGGAAAATTCAAAACATAAAATTAACACTATAGTAGTGGTATCTGATCCCACTTTCTGAGACACCCGTAAAATTCAAAACATAAAATCAACACTATAGTAATGGTATATGATCCCACTATCTGAGACAACTGGGAAAATTTTAAACATAAAATCAACACTATGGCAATGGTATCTGATCCAACTATCTGAAACACCGGGAAAATACAAAACATAAAATCAACACTACATCAACTACGTTATAAAGATCTGATCCCACAGACACATTCTGGGACACCTGGAAAATTTAAGCATTAAATATGCCTTATAAGGAAAAAACAAATGAGAAAGATTAAGGACAAAACATGTACCTTATTTAGTATATGAAAATATGTTGACTTAAATGTTTACTATGCTAACACTGTAATGTAGAATCTCTATATCTTGCATTGCAGGGGAGACAATAAAATCTTTTCATACCTCATTTATCAACCTATTATCTTTGGAAACATGGAAACACACATCTCGTAAAGCTCTCTGGAATGCTACTGATGTTTTTCTGTAAATAAATTATCATAAACTATTTTCACATAAATAGCAAAAAGAAAGAACATTGAACTATAATTCAAATAAATCTTTCCTTAAATAATGTCAAGAAATAAGAAAATTCTATATCAGATATATTCAACAACGGGGTATAATCCAGTGTCATATGGTAAACTTCTTTCTGGACAAAACTATTTTGTTGTTCAACTTCCGTTGTCTTTTTAGTGTGATTTGGCAATTTGAAAATAAGGGGAATTAACTCTTGAAATCTGACAAAAAAATAAAATAATCTCAATCTTTTTTGAAGGAGTCTTGTTTTGAATTACACAGAACTTTATATACATGTAGATTGGAAATGCAGAATTTGCAAAGAACATTTTCACTTGTGACATTAAACAATTCATAATTATTAGTACTGTTACAATTATTAAAAAAATAAATTGAAATCTGTAAATTGACAGTTGTCAAAGAATACTTGTTTAAGTTTTTTAGCTGAATTTCTAGTACCTACCTTGATAGATTTTTTTCATGATGTTGCCCTTTATCAGGTGGTTTCTCCTTTTGTGATTGTGTTCCCTCTCTTGTTTCAATTGTCAGTTCTATGTTTTGGTCCATTTCACTAGTATTCTCATTTGTATTTCTATCTTCATTTTGATTGGTCTCTGATGACTCAGATACAGAGTCACATGTTATTTGATTGACAGACAAAGTTTCTGAACCATCTCCCATTTCTCTTATAGAGAACATTCCATTTTCAACAATGTCAACACTATTTTCAGATAAGTTTAACGACACACGGTCTAAATTGTCAGATTTTTTGATAGAATCTAATGGCTTGGATGGAGTGGAGTGTATCACTTTATCATTGTTATATGTATTGCTGCAAAAAACAAAGTTACACTCATTATCTATATTAAAATGTATAAAATGTAAATCCTGATACTATCTTTAATAAGATGAACACATTAACAATAATAAATAGACACTTTAAAATCCAATCTTTAAAAAATGTACATCAACAAATATATATTATAATCATATTAACAGAAAACTGAAAAATAGATACTGATGCTACAAAATTTATATTTTTATAGTCTCCCAAAAAAAAAAAACTTTCACAACATAAAGATAAAGACAACTGAATTATATCTTGGAATAGTTTTTTTATCTTCAAGTACCTCCTTCTTTAACCTTTGGAGAAAAATAAAAAAAGTATAAATGTTCATTATTGCAGTAAAAATGTGACTGCAATATAACTGGCTCTTGAAAGGATAAAATGACTCTTTCATGTTGCAACAACCCCTAGATGTCCTATGAATGGTCTTTTTTTAAATGTGGAAAGCCTAATACAGCAATTAGTAAAATTCTCTAAAGTGAGGTGTATTCTATTTCACAATATAGATCATAGGTTTTTAACATACCCTACATGTTCTCATAAAAAAAGGTTAAACATAATGATGGCATTATGTACTTCATTTACATTACAATTACTGTGAATTCAGAAATTATTGCAAGGTTTTTATTACTGTAGTTGCAATAATTATTCAAAAATTTTGGTCTGTCATGTCGAAATCGCAATAATAAATGCAGGCGATAATTTCTGAATTTACAGTAATTTGAACCTCTGTGGTTTACATGCAGATTATCAGATTAAAGACTACATAGAGACAGCCATGAGAATACCAACCTTTTATAAGATTACAGACTACACAGAGACAGCCATGAGAATACCAACCTTTTATAAGATTACAGACTACACAGAGACAGCCATGAGAATACAAACCTTTTATAAGATTACAGACTACACAGAGACAGCCATGAGAATACAAACCTTTTATAAGATTACAGACTACACAGAGACAACCATCAGAATACCAACCTTTTATAAGATTACAGACTACACAGAGACAGCCAAGAGAATACCAACCTTTTATAAGATTACAGACTATATAGAGACAGCCATGAGAATACCAACCTTTTATAAGATTACAGATTACACAGAGACAACCATCAGAATACCAACCTTTTATAAGATTACAGACTACACAGAGACAGCCAAGAGAATACCAACCTTTTATAAGATTACAGACTACACAGAGACAGCCACGAGAATACCAACCTTTTATAAGATTACAGACTATACAGAGACAACCATCAGAATACCAACCTTTTATAAGATTACAGACTACACAGAGACAGCCATGAGAATACCAACCTTTTATAATCTTCTAACTGTAACATTAGTTGATCTTTCTCTATTTTACAACAATCTAATTCTATTTCTAACTGCGAGATTCTTATTTCCTGCATAAGATAAATCAAAATCTAATAATTTATTATTATTATTATAATATAAAATATTTATATAAGAATAAAAAATTCGTCAGGGTTCCGCGGAACCCAGTGTCTCGCCTACTTTTGCTGTTAATCGCAGGCTCAACAAAAATGAGGAAAAAAATTAATAAAAATATTCCTCTCTATACTATCTTTTGATTGTAAGTAGCTTCTGTCCAAGTTTGGTAAAATCCAGGATAGTTTATGAATCTAATAAATGTTTTAAAAACTAAAACTGCAGACTGTATGTAATGTTATCTGGCAGAAAAACTAAGTCCATTTATAAGTAAAATACGGAAAAAATGGATTTTTTTTTTTACAAAATTTACTTCTGGATACTATCTTATGATTATAAACAAGCTTCTTTCCAAGTTTGGTACAAATCCAGGATAGTTTAAGAAAGTTATTAAAATTTCAAAAACTTTAACCACAGAGTGAATTCGAATGTAATGTTAACTGGCAGAAAAACTAAGTCCATTTCTAAGTAAAATACAGAAAAAATGGAATTTTTTTTTTACAAAATTTACTTTCGAATATTATCTTATGATCATATACAAGCTTCTGTCCAAGTTTGGTAGAAATCCAGGATAGTTTAAGAAAGTTATTAAAATTTCAAAAACTTTAACCACAGGGTGAATATTTGTGGACGCCGCTGCCGACGACGACGACGCCAACGACGGAATGTAGGATCGCTATGTCTCGCTTTTTCGACAAAAACGGTTCATTGATGTGTGAAATGGACCAAATTACTCACAAACCAACATTGAAGCTCAAGGTACATATACATAAAACTGTGAGTAGTACACTCACTGTTAACACAGCAATAAAGTCTAGGGGGAAATGGTTTAATCCTTATCATTTGTTTAATTTCATAATCTTTCAATCTACAATTGTAAAAAAAATATAAAGAGGATTTGTATGTTTAACATGCATACAAACCATATGGTTATCCTGGGTACATACGAAATATATTCTAATGAACACGCTCTTTTGAAAAATAACCTGTCGAAAAAAATAACTACCAAAAGACTTTGTTACAAATCATAGTAAAGCATTCCCATGCAAATCATAAATTTTAATGCCCTACAGAAGAAGTCTTGTGTTCTGTGCTTTTACATACTACAAATCTCACAATTTCCCGAAAAAAAAACACTACTATTTATGTTGTTAATGTTTTTCCTTTCATCTTCAACATTATAGTACATTTCATACGCTATGTCCTAACACCACAAATCTCACCATTTCTTGACAAAACTGTTTATGTTTTTTTCCTGTATGACAAAATTTTATTTCACACCCAATGTCCCAACACCACATTAGCATTTCCTGACATAACTGTTTATGTTTTTCCTGTATGGCAGAAATAATATTATCTTCAAACCATACCATGCATTTCCCTATAAAGTATACTACCTCCACCTCTGTCCTATACAACAGTTATCTTACCATTTCCTGACACAGAAGTTTGTGTTGTTCCTGTATAGCAGCAATCCTTTCATCTTCAAAACATACCATACATCCAACACTACAAGTTTCTACCAAAGGTGCTGTATGGCTACCAAAATCTTTATACAAATGTAGTAAGTCTGGAGGTCGAGCAATGTTCAGTCCCACATCATCCCAATCTTCAAAATCCTAGTGGAAATAAGAAACACAATCATTATTAACAGAAAGTTTCCCCAATTTATATTGTAACTTTATAAGGAACTGTGAACTAAGAAATAAAGGGAAGGTTCTATTGAGGATTATTTCATAAATAAATGTAGAGCAGAGGTTTCACAAGACATTTTATTATTATCCAACAATACATAAATTTTAAATGCTAAGGTCCATCATGTATACTTCTTAACCCTATACCCAGGATTGTTTTCCATTTCCCAATGTAACCATCCATACAATTAAAATAAAATTCTCATTCTAAAAATACAAATAATGTTCATTTCTGATGATCTTTTTTTAATTATATTGTACCATTATAAAAAAAAAAGAGTTGTATGAAATGTAAATGTAACTGGTGGTATAAACATGTAGTTCATCATACTTTGCAGAGACTTCAAGGGAATTAATTTATTTGTTTTGTTAACCAAGTAAACATTGATTTGTTGGATTTTAAATCTGAGATTTTAAGATTTACATATTTTGAATCAATGGAAAATATGCATTTTTTGGGGGTATATAATTTGTCGTTAGAGGGAACCTTCAAAACTGGTACCTTTGACTATCTCACAACAATAATACTCTCACAGTAATTAACTAAAAAAAAAGTATCTTTTAACTAATCAATATTACGTCTTAACAAATCTTCAGCCACATCCCATTTCAATGATTTGTATGTTGATTTTATTCATTTTCCATCAAGAGCTGGTACCCCCTTATATATCCCTCTCCTGAAATTAGTACTATCTCTTGTTTATCCATCCTGTAACTAATTCATTCTTCATCAAGAGCTGGTACCCCCTTATATACCCCTCTCCTGAAGTTAGTACTATCTCTTGTTTATCCATCCTGTAACTAATTCATTCTTCATCAAGAGCTGGTACCCCCTTATATACCCCTCTCCTGAAGTTAGTACTATCTCTTGTTTATCCATCCTGTAACTAATTCATTCTTCATCAAGAGCTGGTACCCCCTTATATACCCCTCTCCTGAAGTAAGTACTATCTCTTATTAATCCATCCTGTAATTAATGCATTCTTCATCAAGAGCTGGTACCCCCTTATATACCCCTCTCCTGAAATTAGTACTATCTCTTGTTTATCCATCCTGTAACTAATTCATTCTTCATCAAGAGCTGGTACCCCCTTATATACCCCTCTCCTGAAGTTAGTACTATCTCTTGTTTATCCATCCTGTAACTAATTCATTCTTCATCAAGAGCTGGTACCCCCTTATATACCCCTCTCCTGAAGTTAGTACTATCTCTTGTTTATCCATCCTGTAACTAATTCATTCTTCATCAAGAGCTGGTACCCCCTTATATACCCCTCTCCTGAAGTTAGTACTATCTCTTGTTTATCCATCCTGTAATTAATTCATTCTTCATCAAGAGCTGGTACCCCCTTATATACCCCTCTCCTGAAGTTAGTACTATCTCTTGTTTATCCATCCTGTAATTAATTCATTCTTCATCAAGAGCTGGTACCCCCTTATATACCCCTCTCCTGAAGTTAGTACTATCTCTTGTTTATCCATCCTGTAATTAATTCATTCTTCATCAAGAGCTGGTACCCCCTTATATATCCTTCTCCTGAAATTAGTACTATCTCTTATTAATCCATCCTGTAATTAATGCATTCTTCATCAAGAGCTGGTACCCCCTTATATATCCTTCTCCTGAAATTAGTACTATCTCTTGTTTATCCATCCTGTAATTAATTCATTCTTCATCAAGAGCTGGTACCCCCTTATACATCCTTCTCCTGAAATTAGTACTATCTCTTGTTTACCCATCCTGTAATTAATTCATTCTTCATCAAGAGCTGGTATCCCCTTATATACCCCTCTCCTGAAGTTAGTACTATCCCTTATTAATCCATCCTGTAATTAATTCATTCTTCATCAAGAGCTGGTACCCCCTTATATACCCCTCTCATGAAGTTAGTACTATCCCTTATTAATCCATCCTGTAATTAATTCATTCTTCATCAAGAGCTGGTACCCCCTTATATACCCCTCTCCTGAAGTTAGTACTATCCCTTATTAATCCATCCTGTAATTAATTCATTCTTCATCAAGAGCTGGTACCCCCTTATATACCCCTCTCATGAAGTTAGTACTATCCCTTATTAATCCATCCTGTAATTAATTCATTCTTCATCAAGAGCTGGTACCCCCTTATATACCCCTCTCCTGAAGTTAGTACTATCTCTTGTTTATCCATCCTGTAATTAATTCATTCTTCATCAAGAGCTGGTACCCCCTTATATACCCCTCTCCTGAAGTTAGTACTATCTCTTGTTTATCCATCCTGTAACTAATTCATTCTTCATCAAGAGCTGGTACCCCCTTATATACCCCTCTCCTGAAGTAAGTACTATCTCTTATTAATCCATCCTGTAATTAATGCATTCTTCATCAAGAGCTGGTACCCCCTTATATACCCCTCTCCTGAAATTAGTACTATCTCTTGTTTATCCATCCTGTAACTAATTCATTCTTCATCAAGAGCTGGTACCCCCTTATATACCCCTCTCCTGAAGTTAGTACTATCTCTTGTTTATCCATCCTGTAACTAATTCATTCTTCATCAAGAGCTGGTACCCCCTTATATACCCCTCTCCTGAAGTTAGTACTATCTCTTGTTTATCCATCCTGTAATTAATTCATTCTTCATCAAGAGCTGGTACCCCCTTATATACCCCTCTCCTGAAGTTAGTACTATCTCTTGTTTATCCATCCTGTAATTAATTCATTCTTCATCAAGAGCTGGTACCCCCTTATATACCCCTCTCCTGAAGTTAGTACTATCTCTTGTTTATCCATCCTGTAATTAATTCATTCTTCATCAAGAGCTGGTACCCCCTTATATATCCTTCTCCTGAAATTAGTACTATCTCTTATTAATCCATCCTGTAATTAATGCATTCTTCATCAAGAGCTGGTACCCCCTTATATATCCTTCTCCTGAAATTAGTACTATCTCTTGTTTATCCATCCTGTAATTAATTCATTCTTCATCAAGAGCTGGTACCCCCTTATACATCCTTCTCCTGAAATTAGTACTATCTCTTGTTTACCCATCCTGTAATTAATTCATTCTTCATCAAGAGCTGGTATCCCCTTATATACCCCTCTCCTGAAGTTAGTACTATCCCTTATTAATCCATCCTGTAATTAATTCATTCTTCATCAAGAGCTGGTACCCCCTTATATACCCCTCTCATGAAGTTAGTACTATCCCTTATTAATCCATCCTGTAATTAATTCATTCTTCATCAAGAGCTGGTACCCCCTTATATACCCCTCTCCTGAAGTTAGTACTATCCCTTATTAATCCATCCTGTAATTAATTCATTCTTCATCAAGAGCTGGTACCCCCTTATATACCCCTCTCATGAAGTTAGTACTATCCCTTATTAATCCATCCTGTAATTAATTCATTCTTCATCAAGAGCTGGTACCCCCTTATATACCCCTCTCATGAAGTTAGTACTATCCCTTATTAATCCATCCTGTAATTAATTCATTCTTCATTAAGAGCTGGTACCCCTCCTGAAGTTAGCTCTCTCTTATTAATCCATCCTGTACCTGTTCTTCATTCTCCTCTGAGAATGTAACTGATGTCAGTTTATAATTGTTCTGTAACAGGTACTCATTCACCAGGAAGTTTAATGCCTTTCTTTCCAGTGGTTTGATTGGATCATCCTTGTTTGGTGTTATATTGTCTTCATTTACTTGCTCAGCTGGAACTAAATCGGTTTCTGCAAAGTTACAAATATAATGTCAATATTATTCTAACTTTTATATAATGGTAGATACAATATGGTGCTTTTATAATGTGTTAAACATAAAAACAGGTGTTCAGTTAAAAAAAAAACTTTTCATTTTTTGGACTGTAGACAATTAAGTGCTTCACATAACAATGTATATGGTGCTGTATAGACACCTAATTATTGTTGAAGACTGTATATTGACTTCTAGTTATTTTTTAGTTACTTTTTCATTGTAAACCTGATATCACCTTATTATTAAATGCTTTTCTTATTTAAAGTAGAAATATATTTACCTGCTTCTTTTGTTAAACTAGCTCGTAGTGATTTGATTGTGTCCTGAGCTTTTCTTAACTCAAATTCTAGAACTGTCAATATAAGAATTAGCATTTCAGTTAGTTTATCACAATATTATTACTATTTTTTAACGGTATCTTTATAGCTGTTCTTCATCTTCAAAATTTCTGAAAGGTCTTCAACAATGATCTAAAGAGCACATGCCTAACATCAATATCATCATGCTTTCACCTCACTCTCCCAGGTTTTTAGTTGATTTAATATAGATATATAGGTAATATAAAATCAGAACAGTGTTACAATTTGTAGTATAAACACAAGTTGTTTATCATGTTCATGTATCTGCTTTACTTTCATATATTTCTCAGAAAGAAAAAAAGAAGTTGTCAACAAACCTGCAACTCTTTCATCTACTTGCCCCCCACCATCATCAGAATATCGGGCAAAATCTAGTGAATCAAAGGTCTGTATGCTGGAAGCTCTCTCTGAAAATAAAAAAAAAAACACATGAAATAAACTTCAATTTATAATTTTTAAAACCACATCCTTATTTAGAGTGTAAAACATGTAAAAGGCATCATGGCAAAAGGGTTAGGTATACTTTGTGCCTTGTTAAATAGTCTAGCTCAATCAAAAACTATTCTATTCTGTTTGTCAAGTTCATGAAATTCATTGTTTCTCATAAAAAAGATATATATAAATTTAAATAATTTAAGCAACTTTAATCCATAAATCAAAACAATGCATTTACATGGAAATATATACATTTAGCAAGGAGATCTAACCAACTGTCTATTAATGCGTGTAGAATGCGTAATTTTCCTTTTAGGAATCAGTATTCTTTTGTCTGCTGAGCCTTTCATACATCTGCAGTAATTATCGGTAGAATACGGATTTCGATCATTGCTGATCTGCTTCCGCTGAATACTGCCTCTGATGCATGGTTTGTACAAATATTTCAATGGCGGATGAAGAAAATATTTCAAAAATAAACCATGTTTTACAAGCGGTTTGGAAAGGAATATGACATTTTTTAATTGAATGAATAGATGAAACACTATTAAATGGCAATTTTCATCAAGTTCTAATGATGTTCAATACTTATTTTGCAGAAAATCAGAGTCTTTTGATGTAAACTCTCAAGTAACAAGTTCGGGAAGTGAAAGAAAACACTTCATAAAAAGCTGTTTCTTTGAAATAACATACAACCAATTTGTTAATCTCTTTTCTAAAGTAATAAATCGTTTAAGTCTTAGAATTTCTTTACTTACAAATGAAAAATTGATGTTACATCAACTTGGTAAAAATGGAAAATTTTCTATGACGAAAGCAAAGAAAAGCGACTATTGTGAAAACCCCCGGTAACTAGATATCGTTTTTGAAAGTAGAGCAAATCAAATGTAGGAAAGGCGACTTATTAGCCCCACTTCCCCACTAGTATGAGCCCTCAAAACCAACTAATATTTTGCTTAAGAAAACTTAGTTCAAAGCATTTTAGGGATACTACCGAAATAAAGAATTTTCTTTACTCAATATAATAATAAGATGTGATATGATTGCCTATGAGACAACTCTCCACCAGTGACCAAAATGTCGTAGAAGTAAGCAGCTGTACAGCCTTTAACAAATGTAATAAGTAACTTCTTTAAAATTTCCACAATGCCACTAGAATATATACGGAAATAATCTTAATGATGTAAGAAATCAGCTGGTGTAAGGGGGATGCTTCCTGCAGACACACATGACATCAAGACAGAAAATCATGAGTCTGTAACACATATCGGGTCAAGTAGAATAAATGGTACTGTAGTTCCATCGGAAGAATAGAGAAGTAATTCGGTTTAACTTATGAAGTAGATCAGTTTATATGTACATAAGTTGACAGACTAAAAGGTCGACAGGTTGACACTAGAAAGGTCGACAAGTGCGAAAGTCAACAGGTTAACAAGTGTTGAGGTCGACAGGTTGGCAGGTCGACATGTTGAAAATTCGACAGGTTGACAGGTTGACAAGTGTTTAGGTCGACAGGTTGACATGTGTAATGGTTAACAAGTTGACAGGTTTAATTTTACAATTCAGTTTTTTAACCTTTTTATTAAGTCTTGACTTATAACTGTCTACCTGTTGACTGTTGAACTGTCAACCTGTCAACCTTTCGACTGTCAACCTTTTAACCACTATTAAAGTTTTCATTTCTCCCCGTCAAATTGTCGACCAGTTGACTTGTCGACCTGTCTACCAGTCACCAATAATACTATTTTACACTAGATAAATTCTTTCAAATTGTCAACCTATCGACTTGTCTACCATAACTTCAATTTTAACTATATTAAATTTTCAACTTGTCAACCTGTCGACCAGTCAACCATAAAAGTATTTACATTTTTAACATTGTCAACTTGTCGACCTGTCAACCATAAAAATATTTGCATTTTTAACACATTGTCAGCCTGTCGACATGCATGACATGTCAACCTGTCTGTAGTAGAAGTAGACCAGTCATTTATTTTTTTTCATTGTATAATTTTAATACATTTATTGCCCATAAATACATAGGCGTATAAATTTATTATAAAAGCCGGAACTATAGTACCTTATATCCTACTTGAGCCCACAAAAAAGGCTCATATCCAGGTACACGCTTTAACAAGATCTTTTTAGGGAATATATTTATTCAATGAATGATATTTATAAAAAACATGGTTGACAGTTGTTTAGATATGTTTGTGTATCTTACGCAATGTAGGAGAAGTTAGGTCCTCTTTGGTTCTTTCGAAGTTTCCTGGATTTGAAAAATAATCCCGGAGACGTGGGACTTCCCTTCCCAGCTCGGTCAACTCCGTATGTAGTTCTAGGGCAGTTAACAGTAAATTTTCTTTGAGAAGTCTAGATGCTAGCGAATCTAATGTCATTTCCGTAGTTTCCTCAGATTTTGAAGTCTGTGTTACGGTATGTTCTTCTGAAATACTATCGTCATCGAGGAACGGATTTGTGTTTGGACAATCCGCCATTTTGTGATCACGTGGGTATTAAGGATATCCAGTATTTTTTTTAACTACATCCCTAAAATTAAACAGAAATGATTGAATTATTAGCTCAATTCTAAAATTCAATATATGTTTATATATTGAGTTATATTGATATTGTTTTCAATACAACGGTAGCAAAGTGCGAAACTAAAGATATAAATTATGTCTGACACTTTCGTAAGCACCCCCTTTCAAGTGAAAGGGTGCCACATGTGGAGCAGGATCTGCTTCCCCTTCCAGGTACCTGAGATCACCCTCAGTTTTTGGTGGGGTTCGTGTTGCTCAGTCTTTAGTTTTCTGGGTTGTGTTTTGTGTACTGTTGTTTGTCTGTTTGTCTTTTTGTCGGTTGGTCTTTTTCTTTTTTAGCAATGGCATTGTCAGTTTTCTTTTTACTTATGACTGTCACAGGGTAAATGGCCACTTGGTTCTTATTATTAGGGCATTGATTATAGTGACGATAATAAAGTTGCAAACCATTTATTCACACTGAAAATACATAATTATAATAAACAGTTATTACAAATGTTAACTTGAAGTTTCCTTTCAATATGAACTGTGAATTGGATAGAAATACATGCATTATAAGGCCTACAAAATTAAATGTGCTTACCTGAAAATAGGGAAAAAGTTATATGTCCCATATGTAGCTCGTGCGTGCTAAAGTGTGAAACTCGCATTAGTACGAGTACACTGTATATATAGTACTAGAAAAAGTGGCGGGGTTGCATGCATTATAAATTCGTGCAGAGTAGAACATAGCCTAAGTCTTTGGGTCAATGAATGAATGAATGAATGAATGAATGAATGAATGAATGAATGAATGAATGAATGAATGAATGAATTAATTAATTAATTAATTAATTAATGAATTAATGAATGAATGAATGAATGAATGAATGAATGAATGAATTAATTAATTAATTAATTAATGTATGAATGAATGCGTAAATGATAGTAAATATAGTACACACAACATATAGTATAGTACTAGTATATAGCTGATAAATAGCTACGGTGACATGACTTATGAATGTCCCTTTTGGTATCTGTCGACTCTCTTTTACCCCCTTTCAAGCAGTTCAGATCAGTTCGATATTATGTATTTTACTCCACGAGGGTATTGTGTTGGGGCTATGTACATCTGTTTAACATAAACAATGATTTAAAAAAAAATCATGACCAGTTTAACATAATAATATTCATAAAAAAATACCAACACCCATTCAAAAGTGGGAGTCTAAATTAAAATCGATAGAATTTTAAAGTAATCTGCCAAAATGTAGTTTATATCATACTTTTTTCAAAAATATAATAAAACTAGAGGCTATCAAGAGCCTGTGTCGCTCACCTGATTCTACTTTGGTTTTGGAAATCATGTAGAAATAGATTCAAATCATAACAGATACCCTAATAATGATTGACCAAATTTTGTTTAATATTGGCACCGTATTTTAACAAAAAGCAGAAGACTTTTGTAAAGTTTACCGAAATTACCAATAAATTCATTGAAATTGTAGAAAATGACTTTATAAGGACAATAACTCCAACAAGATGTCAATTGACAATTTTGCTCATGTTGACTTATGTGTAGATCTTCTTTTCTTGATATTTTTGCAGTTTATAGTATATCTCAATCTATACATGTATTAAGGTCTTCATCAGCACCTCATAAGGAATATTTATGCCATGTGTGGTTTCATTCCATTCAGTGCTCCTCTAGAAGAAGCATTTGTATGTATTTCCCATAGGGTCTTATGTTAAAATAAGTTCCCCGATGGCAGCCATCTTGGATGATTGATCGGCTACAAAGTAACAACACTTGGCCAGCACCTCATTGGAACATTCATGCCATGTTTGGTTTCATTCCATTTAGTGGTTCTCTAAAACAAGACATTTGTATGTATTGTCCATAGGGTCCTATGTTAAACGAAGTCCCCCGCTGGCGGCCATCTTGGATGATTGATCGCCTACAAAGTTACAACACTTGGTCAGCACCTCATAAGGAACATTCATGCCATGTTTGGTTTCATTCCATTTAGTGGTTCTCTAAAAGAAAACATTTGTATGTATTTCCCATAGGGTCCTATGTTAAACTAAGTCCCCCTCTGGCGGCCATCTTGGATGATGGATCAGCTTCAGCACCTCATAAGGAACATTCATGTCATGTTTGGTTTCATTCCATTCAGTGGTTCTCTTAAAGAAGACATTTGTATGTATTGTCCATAGGGTCCTATGTTAAACGAAGTCCCCCTCTGGCGGCCATCTTAAATGATGGATCGGCTTCAAAGTAACAACACTTGGTCAGCACCTCATAAGGAACATTCATGCCATGTTTGGTTTCATTCCATTTAGTGGTTCTCTAAAAGAAGACATTTGTATGTATTGTCCATAGGGTCCTATTTTAAACGAAGTCCCCCACTGGCGGCCATCTTGGATAATTGATCTCCTACAAAGTTACAACACTTGGTCAGCACCTCATAAGGAAAAGTCATGCCATGTTTGGTTTCATTCCATTCAGTGGTTCTCTTAAAGAAAACATTTGTATGTATTTCCCATAGGGTCCTATGTTAAACTAAGTCCCCGTCTGGCGGCCATCTTGAATGATGGATCGGCTTCAAAGTAACAACACTTGGTCAGCACCTCATAAGGAACATTCATGCCATGTTTGGTTTCATTCCATTTAGTGGTTCTCTAATACAAGACATTTGTATGTATTTCCCACATGGTCCTATGTTAAGTCCCCCTCTGGCGTTTGAATGGTTTTACACTAGTTATTTTTGGGGCCCTTTATAGCTTGCTGTTCGGTGTGAGCCAAGGCTCCGTGTTGAAGACCGTACTTTCACCTATAATTGTTTACTTTTATAAATTTTGACTTGGATGGAGAGTTGTCTCATTGGCACTCATACCACATCTTCTGATATCTATTTGTATGTATTGTCCAAAGGGTCTTATGTTAAACGAAGTCCCCCGCTTGCGGCCATCTTGGATGATGGATCAGCTACAAAGTAACAACACTTGGTCAGCACCTCATAAGGAACATTCATGCCATGTTTGGTTTCATTCCATTCAGTGGTTCTCTAGAATAAGTTCAAAATGTAAAAAGTTAACGACGGACGACGGACGCCAAGTGATGAGAAAAGCTCACTTGGCCCTGAGGGCCAGGTGAGCTTAAAATATGGTTCAGGGTTTTTTTTTTAATCAAGCTGCAGGTTTTTCAAAATTATAAGAGACTATGCATGAAAAACCAATTGTTGTGTGATAAAAAGAAAACAAAACGATGGAATTTTAAGATATACTATGAGAAGATAGATCTTGTAATGTGCTATTAGAAAAAGAAAAGAAAAATAGGGGTTACGGGACTCGTTTTCTTGCGACAAAACTAAATAGGCATATTCATAAAACATTCCTTTATAAACGTTACATTATTTGAGTTATCTCCCCTTATATGACAAAGTTGAAAAATGAATCAAACAAAACATATTCTGTATTTGTAAAAAAACCAGTTGAAAAAAATGATAAAACACATAATTTTCTCATTTAAATGAAAAGTTTTACAAATGAATAACATTCTTCTGTCAAAATTTGCACATTTCATTAAAGATCTGAACCGATTGTTTTCTGCTATTTATCAATCCAAGATTTAAGATATATAGCTTTATTTAAGGTCGGTATATACAAAATAATTGCAAACATAAGCTCTGGAGAGGTGTGCAGTATGTAACAGATGTAGTGCATGTCACACACACTATTTTGGTGCATCTCATAGCACATAATTCTAGCGATGCTTTTTATATCTTCGCACATTTGTGTATGCTGACAACAGATGAACTAAGGAAAAAAGACAAAAAGGAAAATTAACAGTAAATCAAAACACTGCATAGACACACAAAGAAGGGGCATTACGAACTCACAAATACAAAGGTTTCGCCACTTCGATACCAAGACAAATATTGATAAATATTCCGTATCAACTTTACAAATTATACATGATGGTCTTGAAGTATAGATTCTAGGTACTGACGTTGTTTATCATCTTAATTACGTGTTATAGTGTTCTTTTATTTGTCTTTGTAAATGATTACCTTTACTGTTTAGTCCATTTTTTGGTAATATCCCTTTGGCGTGCGGCTCGGTACTTATATATCCCGTCATTGTGTTTTTGTGCTATGGTCAATTTTTGTATTTTTGTTCACACATTGTTGTCAATATAATGGAATTTTATGCGACTGTCATACAAGTGAGAGGTTTAGCTAGCTATAAAACCAGGTTTAATCCACCATTTTCTAGCTACATAAGAAAATGCCTGTACCAAGTCAGGAATATGACAGTTGTTTTCCATGCATTCGTTTGATGTGTTTGAGCTTTTGATTTTGCCATTTGGTGAGGGACTTTCCGTTTTGGATTTTCATTAGAGTTCGGTATTTTTGTTCTTTTAATTTTTACTTCCATTATAATTCTGATCAAGTCAGCATAGTCATAATACACCTGGATCGTTGATGTGCTGACCCTGGAGAAACTGTGTCTGTGATATTGCCTGGTTGTTACGTTTTGTCTCTTGATATGAAATGGAATGGTAACAACAAATTATAAATACTTACAGATGGCAATTTAAGATTATTCCAGCAACAAGCTTTCTCGTGGTGTCACCATCCTGCTGAAAAACTGTCTCGTTTATGTTTTTTCTTGTAGATATAGCTTTTGGCCTCTTTTTAAAAACAATATGAGCAAGCAATTGAATAAAAACCGAAAATGGATCTACTGTTTATAAAGTTTTCCGCCCGACTTCGGCGAAGGACAAAGCGTCCTTTTGAACTGAATAAAATGTCCGGGCTGGTGATACCTCCGGGAGGAAACATCCATCAGCAGTTGCATCGACCCAGTGGATGTAAATGAACTCATCATAGATACCAGGATTACAATTTTGTGTGCCAGAAGCGCATTTCGTCTACAAAAGACTCATCAGTGACGACTCAAGGAACTATTAAAAAGGGTGAATGGTTACACGTAAATAATGGAAGGAGTCAAACCTTATATCATATTAATGTTTAAGATATGATTAAGGAGATAAAGCAAAAAATAGAAATCAAATTAATTTCTCGATTTAACGTTTTCGCTGTTTCGTGTTTGTCAATCATAGCCTGCATTCCCTATTAGACTCCATTAGATTACATTCTTTATGTTATGTATCTATTTCAGAATAAAAACTATTTCATTTTAAAACTAGAATGACTTTGCATATATCTTTACACGATGACTGACTTGACACTCCGTCAAAGACAATTTTCTTTTTATCTTTTGAAAACCATTTTATTTAGTAATATCAAACGGTCACAAAACCACTTGGTTGTTGTAACAATAATCTTCTTTTTTGTTTTAATTTAACTTGATAAAATTTTACAACTCACTATTTATCCTTTACCTGGTACCACCTATTTGCATAACTTCTATATGACTTTTAAGAAAATGAATAAAATTGTTCAAAAATATTTTCATATAATTGTTCAATGACAGTTTTTCAATTCTATTATTTATTTATTTTTACATTTTTTAATTATTACCAATAACATTATTTTTTAATGACATAAATTTACCAGGTCTTCTGACCTACTGACAATCTTATAAAGCTCTAAAAATTTATTATATTGTCACACACCTGTACCAATATAAAACAATTATACATCATAATATATATATTAAAAATATACAATAAAGATTTTAAGTTAAAATATCGTCCATACCTTGTAAAGACGTATCGTTCATACGTTAAGTATTTATTCCACTGTGGTTATAACATTAAATATAATAATACACCAAGTATTAATTCATAGTTATGACATAAATATGATTTTGTAGTATTTATTATGTACAAGTTTGTCGGTTCACATCCTTTGTTCATTTGTTTATGGATAATTGTATCATCGACAATCATATCAAATCTCCTTAAAACTTTTTACTATAAGAAGTAAAGATAATATTTCTGTTTTGTATTTTGTTTATTCATTCAATCATACAGATAAACAAATATAAAACAGATATACATCATACAGCAAACACCATACACCATACATACAACATACAATATACAAAAAACATAATTAAATTGAGAATGGAAACGGGGAATGTGTCAAAGAGACAACAATCCGACCACTGAAGAACAGAAACAGCCCAAGGCCACCAATATGGGTATGAAATACAGCGAGAAAATCTCGCACCCGGAAGCAGGCTTCAGCTGGCCCCTAAACAAAAATGTGTACTAGTTCAGAGAAAATGGACCTCACACTAAACTAAATAAGAAAAAACACACATTGTCAAAACTTACAAAGGCCAGAGGTTCCTGACTTGGGACAGGCGCAAACATGCGGTGTGTTAAACATGTTTTGTGAGATCTCACCCCCCTAATACATCTAGCTAATGTAGAATAAACACACACATAGCAATACGTACAGTAAAACTCAGTTTTCAATTAACCATTGAAATCAATTGCTTTCAATATTAGATTATATCAAAGTTACTTATAGTTACTTATAGTTGATTTCCAGTACAGGACCCCTCAAGGTTCCTCTTCACCAGACTCATAATTTAATGTTTTTCTATTACTGTTTTGTCCGTGACTTCCGGATATTTCTGCTCTGTAGTCATTATAGTATATCTCTTCGTCTGACCAAAATTTGTCTAATCGGTTTTTAAATGCATTTATTGATGGTGACTTTGTTATTTTATCTGGTAATTTGTTCCAGGTTTTAGCAATTCTAACAGAGAAAGAGTGTTTACGGATATTTGTTTTGAATCTTTGATGAATGACTTTATTACTGTTGGTCCTGCTACTGAATCTTTGTTGAGAATCATCTGCCGTTCTTAAAAATGAGCTTACTTCTTTGTCGTAGTATCCATTCATTGTTTTGAAAGTTTCAATCATATCCCCTCTTATTCTCCTAAACGATAATGTTGGTAAGCCTAGTTTTTTAAGTCGCTCTGGGTAGCTCATGTCTTTGAGACCTGGTAATTGTTTTGTTACCCTTCTTTGGACACCTTCTATTTTGTCGATATCTTTTTTCCTGTATGGGGACCAGACTGAGCTGGCATAATCTAGGTGGGTTCTAACCATGGTTTTGTACAATGGCATGAATGTCTCAATTCCCAAGTACTTAAATGTTCTTCTAAGAACTGCAAATATAGAGTTGGCCTTGTTCACTTTTTCACTTATGTGATTTTCAAAGGTGAGTTCTGAGTCAATAAGGACTCCTATATCTTTTTCCTCTGTAACTTGTGCTATTGGATGGTTTAGAAGACTATAATTTGATGGTTGGTCAGTGCTATTAGATTTCTTACATATTTTCATATATTTACATTTTTCCGGGTGAAATTTGAGTAGCCATTTGTCACTCCAGGATTCCATCTTGTTAAGGTCTTCTTGTAGAATTTGTCTGTCTTTCTGGGTTTTTATTATTCTAAAGATCTTGGTATCATCCGCAAATAGGTATGCATCAGAATCCACTTGGTCTGGAAGATCATTTATATATAGAACAAATAGTAATGGTCCTAGTACTGATCCTTGGGGTATCTCAGATGTAACGTTAGCCCAGTCTGATTCTTCACCATTCACTATGACCTTTTGTTTCCTATCTTTTAAGAAGCTTGTTATCCACCCTACTATATCTTCACTGACACCTAGATTTTTGATTTTGGCTATTAATCTTTTATGAGGTACCTTATCAAAGGCCTTCATAAAATCAGTATATATGCAGTCTATGTCTAAACCTTGATCTAATGCCTCTGTCCACTTATCAATCACTTCTAATAATTGAAGACCAGTTGACCTCCCTGCAATAAATCCGTATTGCTTTTTAGAGAATAAGTTGTTCTTTTTCATATGCTCTATAATAAATTCACGCAATATCTTCTCCATTATTTTGCATACTACAGATGTCAAACTGACTGGTCTATAATTTTTGGCTAGTGACTTATTACCCTTTTTAAATATAGCACTTATCATAGCATTTTTCCAATCGTTAGGTACTGTCTTACTTTCAAGTGATTGATTATATATTATACATAAAGGATTTGCCAATGATTCAGCGATCTCTTTTAGCAGCCTAGGGTGTAGTTTGTCCATACCTGGAGATTTATCTATTTTCAATGCATTTAAGTGTTTCAGCACTACTTCTTCCTTTATTTTCTGATTTGACATTACATTAGTTACTAATACCGGCGTTGGTGATGGCACTACTCCGTCAGGTTCCTTGGTGAATACGCTGGAAAAGTATTCTACTAGTAATTTAGCCTTCTTGCTATTATCCTCCGTTTTATCTGATTTTGTGTCTTCTGGATCCAGGTGTAAATCCCCAATTCCTTCTTTGGTTTTAGTTTTTGACTTGATATAACTCCAGATAGCTTTTGGGTTTTCTTTAGCTTTTTCAGACAGATTTTTCTCATATTCCCTCTTCAACTTATTTACTCTACTTTTTACTTGATTCCTTATCTTATTGTATTCTTTCCTCACATCTGGGTCGTTATTATGCGTTATCTTTTTTAAGAGGATGTTTTTCCTTTTAATTTTATCTATGGTGTTTTTATCCATTGGAAAATTGTTTTTCCCTCTACCGATTTGTTTCCTTTCTTTTGTTGGTATATAATCAAAGATCTGAATAAAATTCATAACTCATTTAAAAATGCTTTTCATCTTCTACACAATCAACTGTACACTATTTAAATATGTCTATGTTATTTATCATTTACATTTTTCAGAAATAAACTTGTTAATTATTCTATACAATTAGAATCCTTGGCGTATGAGTAACTGGTTTCTAATTCGGATATGAAAGTTGGGTTTTATGTACAATACTAATTAGGTCACGTGATTTATACCGCGGCAAACTAGAATCATAACAATGTCCCAAGCTCACGTTACTGATTTTTTCTCCACAAGAAAGAAGACGAATGGGGGAAATCCTTCGAAAAGAAGGAAACTTGGTGAAACTAATGAAGTTGTGAACGTTTTTAGTGTACAAGAAACAAACAAAACACCACAACATACAGTGAATAACAACGTAAACGTCGAGGACACACGACCTGAAAATGCTGTATTGCAAACGTTACCTGAGGCAAAATCTGCATCAAGAACAAACAGATCCACAAAGAAAAGGCTTCCAAAATCAGTAGCAAGTAAAAATCAACCCTTGTTGAAAGATTTGTTTAATCATCAGTCTGATAAGGATGGATATCGTCAGGTCATGGAAGAAGTTACCTCGGCATGGGATGAACATGACGGACCCTTATTAACCCCTAGTAAAAGGAACAAAGAACAGAATGACTCGGACACTGAAATGGCTCAAGGATCGAAAAAAAGATCAAGATGTGGTGCAAAGAAGATAGAAGTTGAAGAAACACCAGAGAAATGCCTTGAAGATAATCCGAGAACAGAGGTTAAAGCAAGAAAACAGTTGATTCTTAAACAGGTATTGAAAAAAATTAACCATGAGTGTATATTATAATGATATCTTCATCATTTCTCCTGGCTAGGTATTTCTTGAAGTGGATCCATTCACCAAAAAATCATGTTTGCTCCGATTCTTGTTCACACCACACACGTTTGCACTCTGGGTGGGGTGCGACTTTTTACCCCAATATACCCCAACATACCCCAATATACCCCAATATACATCAAAAAACAGTTTCAACAAAATATTATTGAATAATAATAGCATTTTAGGCATTTTCATGTTATTTTAACACCAACAATACTTTATTTTATAAATATATTTAATTTTAAATCACTTTTTTCATTGAAACTTGTTCCGTTCTTGTCAGCCGCTTACGATCACAAAATGACTTTTTACCCCAATATACCCAAATATACTCCAATAAAACGTTTCAGTGCAACATTCATGTTCTGGAATGATATTTTAACCATATTTATTTAAAAAAAATATCCTATGCACATTTGTGTGCATTTAGAAGCTTTTTAAACTATAGTTAACTCGAATACTGATAATGGTAGCACTAAAGACCAGAATGGACCTGAAAATATACAGGGCAATTTTTAAATTGCAATTTCTTTTTCACTCCTTCAAATTTAAGTTTTATTCAATAACATTTGTGTTTTCTGAATTAAATTTGAAATGTTTTTTTCATACATGTAGATAAAATTAGAAATATTTTACTCATGTTTTGAAATATTTTTTTCAATTTTGATTTTTTTTTTCTCATATTTTTAAAATAATTGTCTCAAATAAAATTTGAAAAATTTTCTCCTACATGAAATAAGATTTTCGAATTTTCATTGAACAAATTATGTTTAATCATCACATGCTTAAAATTTAGGTAAACTTGGACGGACCAGAAACTACACAGATGGTAGTTTTATTTATATTTTTCACTTTTCAATAGATAAATTTCAAATTAAAAAGTTATAAATTCCATTCATCTAGACGGGAAAATAATTTTTCTGATGCCACAACTCAGGACTGAATGGGGAGATTTAAAGACTTAAACGGACATCTATCTTACGGTTGGATTCATTTAAACTTAAGAATTATTTATTCATTGGATTTCCTTCTTATTTTAAAGTCGAGGCTAGTCATTCAATTAAAATCAAACAAGTTTTAAAGAATTATATGTTTGTAATAAATAAAAAAAACTTGGACCTAAACGTTAACATTGAAAGACATCAAGACAAGAAATTCTGTATATTTTTTTTAATTTATTTATTTTCATAAGTAATCACTGATTCCAACCTTTTAAGTTAGGACTGAAAACGAGAAAAAAATATTTTTAGATGATAGGAGGTATATCTAAAAAAAGTCTGAATGTTCCCGAATTGTATCTACCATTCTGCAGATAGCATATTTAATATTTATTCGAAGAAGAAAAAAGTCTTTTAAGCCAACACTCTTCTTCTTCTTCTTTGATATAGTAGTTAAAAAAACTCAGTAATGAGTACTCAATACTTGTGCGTTACGTAGGTGCTGGTAATGTCTATTTACAATAAAAGACCAAAGATAAAAAAAAAATATGGTGCATGCTGTACAGTTGGAGCAGGATAAAAACATTCCTTCATCTATGTAATCAGTCTTGAAAGCTTCCATATAGTTGGAGCTTTCACTGTCGATTTCGGTAATGTATTCCAGGCTATTACTGTTCTCGGAAGTGAACTGGGAAAAGGAAAAGGCCTAACTGTTTCTAAAAATATACAGGTAGATTTATAGAAACTTGTAAAACTCATATATTTTCAATGGATCTTCTGCAAAATTGGATTATATTAATGAAAGAGACAGTCGTTTTATAAAATGAAAAGATCTGATTGGCTCTGAAAATTGAAAAAAAATATATACATACAAATAAGAAGATGTGGTATGATTGTCAATGAGACAACTCTTCACCAGAATAGAAGCTGGGACTATTACAACAATGTAAGTGTAATAGTTCCAGGTAGAAGTTTGTAATTATAATGGTCACCGTACAGCAAGCAAAAATCATTCCGTATGTAGCAAGCTATAAAAGGCCCTGGCATGTAGCTGGGAAGTCATTTCCTTTTTTTAAATCGTATATACTTTTTCTTTGGCGCCAATGATACTATGTATTCTGAAATATAATGACGCCAATGAGTTGGTGCACAAAAGGATGCATTTTTGACGGTCAGGTGCTGGCGAAAACACACCAAACGTGAATCACATTTTGTTTTCTTTTAAAATCTCAGTAGAAACACCTACAAATAAAGTATTTTTCTCTTTATTGTATTAAAATTTTGTACAAAACCAGTTTTATATAAAAATGTGTTTTAAAATAAGAAAACTAGAAATACAGCAAATGAAAAGGTTCCTGTACGAAATGTGACGCCTTTAAATGACACGGAAACCAGGCGTAGAAATCATACTTTATCCTGGCGTCATTGCAGTGTTTGAGGAATGCATGTCCAGGCGTCAACCAGGCGTAAAATTAGGCGTAATATTTAAATGAGTACGCCTGGTTGACAGAAAATCAGGCGTAATATGCAAATGAGTACGCCTGGTCAATAAATAAACCAGGCGTTATGTCCTTACATAATACTACACTTAATTTAAATCAGTGTATTACCCTAGCTGTGTACTTTGTGTATTTGATACAAACTTGTATTGTTGCTTAAAGTTCTCACTGTTTGACATAAAACATTAAATATTAACCATTTAAGAAGCTATATAAATAAATACATATTAGAGGGACACTGGCTCAAATAAATTTAAGGTTAATTAAGAATTATGACAATTAGTTTTTCTTGAAATAAAACTAGCATTTTGACTAAGTTGTTTTGAAAAGTATTGTCATTTAAACTAAAAAAATCAATGATAATACTGTAATTTAACTTGTGAAAGATTTATAAATGTTATTATCCAAGGATGAGGGTTTCCAGAATTTGAAATTAATGGTAAAAAATTAAAAAATAATAACTTAGTTACTCACATAATTATTATTTACCATGGCCATGTATACTACTTTCTTTCATTTCACAATTTTCATTCATCAATTTGATTCCATAATTACAATTTCAAGTTCTTTCAAAAAGCACAAAAAAGCAAATTTCCCCTGAATATATGAAGCTGCCATATGTCCAACTCTTGCAAGCTAATACCAGAGAGCCAAATCTTGAAAAAATTTCCCACGATCCTTTAAACATTTAGCATTATGGGTATTATGATTTAGCGGTCCTTCCAACAGTTTTACGCCCGTAGGAAAATTTACGCCTGGCTTATTTCAATTTACGCCAGGTTTATCACTTTTTTCTACGCCTGTAAATGCTACAAATTTACGTTTCCTGCTCCATTACGCCTAGATCTAGACACGTAACTATCACTTACGCCTGGTTTACGCCAGATTTCCAGGCGTAATACTATGGAAAGCCTCAGCTGTCACATATTAGAGATTTACAATACATTATGCTTCAGCTTAAAATGTAAACTTAAGACCGCGTGATGTTGAATTGAGTCATCAAAATGCTAACTCTAAATTACAATATGCTAAGTTGAATCTGCGCAATGTTGACTTGCAATGACAAGTGCTTTAGTTGTGATAATATAATGATAAGTCACAATGTTGTGATGATATGCCAAACACACGTTACGTTGAGTTCAAAGTACATGATGTGAAGTTGACGTTGCATGATGTTAGCTTGCAGATGGATAATGCTCAGTCATCCACTTCGATTGCTATGATAACAAATAAAATGAATAGCTAAAATGTATGGTGCTGACTTGTTATTAATAAATGTTGAGCTGAGATAGTACGATGTTATATCATTGTGATATTGCGATAGGTCTATCATGCAATCTGTTGATTTAAAACACCATGATGTACAGTTGAAAGTACATAATGTTAAGTTAAGATAACACGATGCTACACCACTATATTGAAACGAAAGGCCTACCATACAATTTGTTGACTTAAAACAACACGATGCCACTTTGAAAGTACATGATGTTAAGCTAAGATATCACGATGGTTTATCAGTATAATGTCACGATGGGCTTACCATACAATATGATCACTTAAAACTACACGACGTACAGACTAGTGTCAAGCTATCCAGCAATTCTCATCCTGCAATTCTCTTTATAAAAAGCTATCCTGCAATTCGTCATCCTGCAATTGCTTTTGGAAAACTACTTGAGCGACAATTTTCTTTTTCTTTAAAATCATAGTTTTTGACTTTTTTGCTCGAAAACAAGATTTATATAGAAAATCAAAGATTTTTATATCCCATTAATAAAATGCTAAATTTACTTTGCAGATTTCTAACTCATAGTTACGGTTTTGTAATGAGAATTTACAATAAAAAAATAAAAAAAACAAAGTATTATTTGTTAAGTCCAGGATGTGATTCGTATTAACGCATGTTTAACCCACATTTGCGATTTTCGAAACTCATATTAACGACTAAAAATATAGAATTTAAATTTTGCTGTAAAATAAATTTTTTCATGGTATACCCAACAATAGAACTTCTATTTGAAACTGGGTCAACCATTTTCAAACCAATTGCCTCGGCAGTTTTGTATGGCTAGGGATTATAGACGCTGCCCTAATGAATAGCTATTGGATAGTACTACAACGTGAGGGTAAAGAATTTCTAGGGTAAGCATTCTTAAAGGCCGGAAATTTCGTCCGTAACACGAAAAAATAATCAAATTTGATAAAATACGCATTGGGGTCACCAACTTTCCAACCCATTGCCTCGGCAGTTTTCTATGGCTAGGGATTATAGACCCTGCCCTAATGAATAGCTATTGGATAGTACTACAACGTGAGGGTGACGAATTTCTGGGGTAAGTATTCTTAACGGCCGAAAATTACGTCCGTAATACGGAACAATGGTCAAATTTGATAAAATACACCCTGGGGTCACCCACTTGTTCAAATCTATTGCCTCGGCAGTTCTGTATGGCTAGGGATTATATACTCTGCTCTAATAAATAGCTATTGGATA